AGAAGTCGTGTTGATACCATACGTACACGAAAGAAGGCAGTAGTGAAGAGGCTATGGAAGGAAAGCAAGAGAAAGGAAATGGAACTTGTCTATTTGAGGCAATGCATGGGTTTGCTGCTGTTTGGATGAATGGCGTCGTGTGTATGTGTGAGATATACGAACTGAATATAGAGAGGACACGGGGTGGGATTTTTTCATCAATCAAAGCTTTCAATTTCCTGACCCGCTACTCTTCTTTCATTTTTCCTACTACTATTACTACTACTACTACCTCTTGATCGGAATACCCAAAAAGTGCTTGTTAAAAAAAGAACCAGCGCAGAAAATGTGGAAACGCTTCCATGGCGAGGCTTCTGTGGCTGCCGGCGGCAAAACTCAGAACCAACAGCAAGCGAATAGTAGTAGTAATACGACGACGACGACAATGGTCGAAACATAACCTTTTCTTCAGCCTAGTGGTCTGAAGCGACTGCTTGACATCTTTGACACCATGAAGCGATAAATTTTCGGTCCCTGCTATGACCGTACCAGCGGGATAAGGTTGCACAGGAGAAACAAGGACGTGACGAGCAATCAACTAAAGGACGTCGGTCTCTTAAATTGCCAATCATGAGCGACGATGAACACGGCATAGCTGACAATGTTACGAAGGAAGAGCTTTTTGCTTTCGACCTTGGCGTTTACAACATTTTGCTGCAGCTTTTCGCTGAAGCCAGTTTTGCGCTAGCTTTTAAGGTCATCTTCCACTAACTCTTTGTCAGCCAGGTGGAGGACAGATGAGCACTTGCGGTTTTTTTTTTCTGCATCAACACAGGCCTCCCAAATTCACATTTTGGTGGGTGTAGATATTTTGCTAGCCCTGAGCCGTGTCTTAAATCGTAGAAGCGAATTTAAAATATCATTCTCCTTAAGGGAGCATTGTAGCACATCTGATGGATCTCCAAATGCTCCGTTTTCGCAAATACCAAAGGATGCACCGTGATTCGATGCAAATTGGCGGAACGGCAAGACAAGTCGAGAAAGTCCTTATGTTTCGACGCAGTCCAAAGTCTTGAGAGCAACCGTGCTCTTTCATCGTTGCTAATTCTAGCAGGTTCAGGAATATACGGCATAGCCACTCTTAGCAATATTTGCAGAAGGCTACCGATGAACCAAGCGTTATCGGCGTGGGGGACAATAGTGAGTGGATACCCATTTTGTGAAGTCAAATGAACGGGCTGATCGCTATAATATCAACTATACAAGCCATATGTTTTAGGATCTATCATACATCCCCTTGTAATCTACGTACTTCAAGTTATTCATTGTGAATTTCTTCGCTCGATATTTTTGCTTCCTGTGCTTCTTGAAAAAGTCTCGAATGTCAGATTGCTTCTTGGCACGTTCTTCTCGAGCCTTGGCTGCTTCGTCGATTAGCACGCGTTGGTTGCTTCTTTTATTCGAAAATTGTCATTTTTTGTCGATATCCTTCCCGGAGCTAGGTATATGGTAAAAGAATCTATGATACCAGTTTTTTATACGACTTAAACTACATATTTCAGCTTCACACAAGCAACTAGTTCTTTTTCTTGCTCTTTTGTTTGATTTATTTTCGGTCGAAGGATTCTTTGAACAAACTGCGCTTGTTTGTTTTATGAATGGACTTTGTTACCAAGCAATTGTTCTGGTTCCTCTCGAGGACGACCATCATTCAAGCCTTTTTTTACTGTTGTGCGTGAGCTGCAGGCAGATTATAAAAAAAATGATTTAAGCCTGACGATCACTCAGTTCAACGCACCCTTATTAAGATGCCACATCCGAATCCAGGGTGTGGATAGTGTTGGCGAAATGTAAAGCGACGCTGACAACCACTTTATTGCTGCGTAGTGTGTCGTGAACGAAAAAATCAATTGCTCGAGTGAGTCCTGACAAGCGATAATGAATATCGCGAAGTTGACGGTCAATGTGTTGACCCTGAGCACTAAATTGAATTTCGTTAAGCGGTGGTAGAGCAACACACTGACGACTGGTGTTGTGCGAACACCCGTATAGAAAACTGCGGCGAGTACATATCGCCGTCGATAGAGTTACGAAAAAAGTCCTTAGCCATGCCCGGAAAGGCGTTGATCAGAGCAGGATAAGGGGTAAGCAAAATAGTAGGAGCTTGCTCAGTAAGATGCGGATCGTCGTCTTCGTTCTCCATGTCTGTATCCTCGTGAGTAGGCGGAGGAGCGTCTACATAATGAACCGAGGATTAAGCGAACATTAGAAATTGAGTGTAACAATATGCCCTGGGCTTTCATAATAGAACGATCGACTTTATTATGTTGCCCGCGGAGACCAGTCATACTGCTACTGGAAGATAAGACCTTGTCGAAAGAGCAGGACTATACATTATAGGAAATCATATGCATTGGGCTCTTCTCTAGTTTTTTAACCCAGGCGCAAGAGTAACGCGGCGACTTGCTTTACCGTCAACAATAACCGATTGTAGCATGAATATTGGATGGAGCTCATGTTAGCGTAAGATTACAACTCATTAGATTTTTGGAGAAGAAAATGCCCCGGTGTCTGATGGTCGTATATGTAGTAATATTCTTTGCTTTTATTGCTGTAAGTCTTGGTACCTTGATACACGGCTGCTGGTCTGTGTTCGCGAGTCTCACACAGGCTCAGAAAGCAAACGAGAAACCGTTGACAGTAAACGTAGTTACTACTCAACTTATGCTAGAAAATACGGACGAGCATCAAAATCGATGAGAAGTCTGTTTGTTATTTTTTCAGTACCAGATGGTTGAGGCGAGTTGCTCTTTTGAAACAGTATAAAAAGTACGTATGCCTAACAAGGTCCCTTAGGACGTACGCAGATATATAAAATAGAAGAAAGCAGCACAGTTACTGAGTCCTGTCGTTGGCCTTTCATTCAGAGCAAACAAGAAAAATCAATATGGGGAATGGCAAAGGGAAACCCTCGCTCGTCAATACATGGTACGTAGACAAGAGTTTGAATCCACAGCGTGGAAATGTAACACCTGGTTTTTGCAAAAGAAAAAAGCTATATAGATGAACTTGTAAAATTGTGTATTCACTATCACAAATCATCTCTACAAAAATGAAAACAGCAGTTAACAAGAAGGCTCACAAGGCTTGAGGTGAATGGGCAACCAACGATCTCAAGAAACTCTATGATTTTGGAATAAGCTAAGCTATTTTCCTCCTTTTCGGCTACACTCTTGGATAACACCTTCTCGATAACACTTTCAAGAAATGAACTTGAATTTCTCCCTAATTCTCGTCGAAAGGCTATTTGATAATATTATTCCGTTTGCTCTGCAACATAAGAATGTAGATAGCTCGAGCAGCAGTGAAGAACAGCTTGCTTGATGATAAAGGCACCACGAATAGCCTTTCGCTGCCTCGCATGAGATGGTTTTTCGTCGTTTTCAAGTACAAACATAGCTTTTAGTTAGATCGCCCTTAGCAATGGCAAAATATTAACAGAACGCCCAATCCTAAAGCTTGCTATGAGCAGTAACAGTAGTAATCCACTACAAGATATCTACTAAAATAAATCAATAATGCTGCACAATCCATTCAGTGTATCGATGTCCTTGTAGGACATTTATTTTCTTTTTTATACGACTACCCGGGGTCCCATTTGTAAATTCCTGTGCTCATGGTTTTGATCTTCCTTTTTTTAGTAAAAATGATAAAGGCAAGAAAACATTCGTGTAAACCGTCGATCTTCTAGGTGTTAACACAGACGCGCCCTCCTTTCGATTGGCCCAACATGACAGAAGAAAAGACCGATCGACGGTTCACATCGCATAAAGCTTTTGCGCTGGAGTTCTCTTTTATTTCCTCAACTTAACTGATATTAAACGATCATCTGTGGTTGTAACTAGAATTTTTTGGTCATTTTTCTCTATTCTCTCTTCTTACTGTAGTATGCAGCTAAATGAGCCGGCGAGTGAAAAAAAAAGGAAGGGACATCCCTATGTGCTCTGACGAATTATGTGTGAATAGCTCCTCGCTCCTGTATTCTTTAAAGTAGAACGATTTCTTCGTGTCGTGTCGTGTCGTGTCGTGTCGTGTCGGGTGTCTTAGGTGTAAAATCCTCTGGCTGTGTTTACATTAAAGAATAGGGGCTAGAGCAGTATAAAATCTTTGCAGCTGTTGTAAGACCTGGTGACATAAATAACATGGAGATAAAACAGTGGCAGTGTCATTCTATAGCACATTTTGGATAATTCTTAAAATACCTTTATTTTGAATATATCTGATATGGGTCAAATAAAGGTACTCAGGAATTATGACCTGATGTTGTATACTATATAGTACATATCGTACGAGAGTGAGAGAGATGTACTCGGAAGAAAAAGTGGTGGTCTTTACTTATTGCGTGTGTGCATGTTGACGTTGCACATGTTTATATTATGTGCATTAAAAGTGCTACCCAAAAACGGATCTGCACAGACGATCATGCGTACTGAGTGTTGCTGACAAGAAACGACTTATTTCATTTAAGAGATCGATAACAGCAAAAAAGTCAGGTGTTGAAGAAAGAGATAAAAACACTCGTAAAGCTCATCAAGCTCGTGAAGAAGGATAAGGTGGCTCCACTCTCTTTCTTTGATTTTGGGAGAGCATGTAATTAACCACATAACCCATATATACACTAAACTATCGAGCAGATCATACTTTGTGCTATATAGGAGGTGAGGATTCAAAAAATGAGGAGGGTCTACTGATGAAAACGGCAGCAGAAAAGATTTGCCAAACCGGGAGACATGATTTGCAGGGACAAATATGGAGGTTTATGTAGCACAGAGAAAAAACCCTGGTTGCAGCAAAAGAACGGTTGCTCCGGGAGACCAAACACGCAGCAGGTGATATCATTGACGAGAATCACCATTACACAGCACTTTGTTACTATGACAACCACCACACATCGCAACAACATTACTCTAGCAACAACATCGTGATAGCAACAGCAGTATTGCCATAGCAGCTAATTTTTCAAGGAAACTAAAAAGAAAATTGTTTGTTGTATTAAAAAAGAAAGTGTGATATATAATAGAGGGTATAGGAAATTAGAAAAGGACAAAAAAAATGGAGTACAATCATTTTTTAAAACAAAAAAGTGTTATGACCAGCATATTATAAGGTTTGTAAAATACTAAATGTGAAGAAATATTTATCGGAACTCATCGGCGTAGTAGACACGAGGAGGCGGCGGGTTGTGATGGTATTGATGATGGTACTGAGGATGATGATGATGGTTTTTTTGAAAGGTGGCAGTCAGAGGCGGCGTAGGCAACGTGTCATCGTCGTTGAGTAGATTTCGAATGGAGGTACAGCTCGAGGAAGATGACGTGGAGGTGGTCGAGGAAGACTGGCGCAGAGGTGGCAAATGAAAAGCCGAGGTTGGCCGTCGCGGGGTGGGTGTGATGGGAGGAGAAGAGGAGGAGCTCGATGTCGACTGCCAATTATGGGAAGCGGGAGCATGTCGCGGGTGATACGTGCCGGAGGATCCGAAAACGGGCAACTGCAACGTTGATGGCTGCGCTTTTAACAAGGCTCTCAGAATGCCTTCGATCACCCCCAGACGCTCTTCAATGGCTTCAACCGAAACAGCCTGCTGTTGTTGATGTTGATGGTGTGGTGATTGCAGGTGGTGTTGCTGGGGATGACTGTTGTCGGTGCTGCTGTTGCCGTTGCAGTTGGCGGTAGTGGTCTGCTGGTGGTTGTTATTGGTTTTGTCAGACGTCGAAGGCGACATCATCATTGGAGGCTGACGGACGAACGTTCGGGATTTATGAGAAGTCACGTATTTGCATTCCACTTTCGCGCGAATGCATCCTGTGCACGGCTTTTCGCCGTTGCACTTTGTCTTTTTCCGTCTGCATTCGCCACATGCTGATACGACCTTGAGGCGCTTGCGTCGAGTCTTGTCGATGGGCACAGTGGTCATGGCTTGTTTGTTTTGGTGGTGGTGGTGAGATATAGCGTAAAGAAGAAGTAGACGGCAAGAGAAGGAAGGGTGCCAGAGAGAAAAAAGATTGGAGAAGAGAGAGGGAGGAAGAGAAGAAGAAGAGGAGGAGGAGGATGGAAAAGAGAAGGAGAGAAAGAAAGGGAATATAAAAGAGTGGAAAAGGGCGGGTTCTTAATATAGACAAGGAGACAGAGCTTGTGTGTGTGTGTGTGTGTGTCTCGCTCGTCGTGACCGGTTGCTTCTTCCGGGACCAAGCGCCCTTCTGCTTTCTCTTATCCATTGTTTACTGACTCTGTCTCTGACTCTATCGCTCTGGCTGCTTCCCCTTTGCGCCACACATCGACTCACCCTTCTGACTGGATCTTCCGCAAACAGACAACGATACAACCCAAAGGGGAGCGGCCGGGGGGGGGTAGGGCACTGTCCTTCTTGCTTGCTCTCGTATGCTACGCTTACAAGATTCCCGTGTACACTTACTCACCCACTCCACTATTAAAAATAAAGGGCGGCCGTCCTAAATGGAATCGTTGCCGATCCGATGCCGTGTGACAACAGCTGAGGAAACCTCGTGCACAGTTGCTCTGTTATGGAATCAAGCACGCCCGGAACCGCGTAAGTTCCTTTTCCCATCTCCCTCTCATCTTTCTTAGGGCCCCCCACCCACCCACTCCCTCCGAAAGAAAGATACCTCCCATTTGCTCCGTCCCGTCCTTCCTTCCTTGCTTTCAACCTCCAACCTCCCACCCCCGAACCGCTCCGCCCCCCACATCGCGCAATACAAATTCCCCGGAAGCAGCTTCGTTCCTTGCCCTTTTTTTTCTTTTCAACTCTTGTAATTGTGGAAATCTTAAAAACATGACTGACTGGTGCAAGCGATGGGACAATGCTGACACGCCCTGGGACAAGGGTCAAGCTAGTCCCGCCCTGGTTGACCTGCTTACCAACCATGCTGACTTGGTGCCCTCGAAAGGCCAAGGGCTTGTTCCAGGCTGTGGTTCGTGAGTACATACTTTAGACTTGTAGCTATGCTTTCCTATTTGAACAGTACCTACCTGCTCCTCTCTCCCCCCCCCAAGAAAAAGCACCCATCAAAGAGAGATCATGATGAAAAGGCTAACCCGGAAAGAAAAAAAAATGCTGCGCGCGCCTTAAAAGGGGTTACGACGTGGTGCTCCTGGCGACGGACGAGCTCCACATCACAGGGCTCGACATGAGTTCGACTTGCGTCCGCTTATGCAACGAGGTGCGCGCTTCTTTTCTACAAGTGCTGCTCAGCCCTGCTGTGACGTAGTGCCCATGATGGCAAATTATGCTGACTGCTTTCTTCGACTAGAAACTAGGCAGCAGCAGCAATGGCAAATACGATTTCCTCTGCGACGACTTTTACAAGTTCAAGATCCCCGAAGGTGGTTACGACATAGTCTTTGACTATACGTAAGTACAAGTGCCAGTCAAAATTGTGTCACACAGCAACAACAAAATCGTGTGATGATGCTGATACTGACGCTGAGAAATGCCGCAAAACACACGGATACACACACACACACAGGTTCTTGTGCGCCATGCCACCCCATATGCGCCCAGACTGGGCGTCCCGCATGGCCGAAATCATCAAGCCCGGTGGCACTCTTGTTGCTCTCATTTACCCACTCAAGGAAAAACCACTGCAACCTCCATTCACGGTTTCTGTTGAGCTGTACGTACCCCACACGCTTATTTTTTGCGAGCACATCACGGAGTAGTAGTACACACACACACCCCGTGCAAAAAGTGCCGCGTTATTTTTTATTAATGCTTAATCGGTTTCATGTTATTTACTCTTCTTCTACTACTAGGTACTTTGAGCTCTTGAGCGAGCACTTTGACAATGTCTATCTGGAGGAAGCAAAGGGTCATGGAAGTCGTCTGGGCGAAGAGAAGATGAGTGTCTGGAAACGCAAAACTTAATACTACTTTGGTCTCTGTTGCTATGTGCTGCACCAATATAATACTGCTGCGTTCAAAACGCACGTGGCTATACACAGCCGGAATAAACTCCAGCCAATGTTCGAATCGGCGGTGACCGGAAGACGCCTCTCTTCTTGCTCTTGTATATGATAGCGAAAACTCAAAATCCTAGTTGTTCTGTACCTGATTGGTGGGCCATCTGTTGGAGAGCCAAATCCATTGCGGTAACACAAGGAAAAAGCACTAGTTTTTACGTGCACAGAGCTTGAGACACTTGGCTGCTGTATCACATAAGTCAAATAAAAATTGGACATCCTCATGCGCTTGGGTACCCGCCAAAATCCGTGCACCGTGCATTGGAACTCCACCAACTTAAAAAAATTACGTATGACTTTTACTACGAAGGATATGACAAGATAGCCGCACAGCTTCCGGAATCTTGACACATAGTAGAACAAATTTCTGCTTGTATGAAGTCGTCGTACTCGTCGTTGCTGTTTGTTTTTTCTTCTTCCTATGTGTGCTGTGGTATAGATGACGTATTGAAGAGTGCTACATGATGGAATAAAGGAGGCCCGTCAAACAGACAAGGAAACCCAAAATATTTATAAAGAGGAGGATATATTACATATGGGAACGAGCTGTGATTATCATGGCTGCTCTTTCTCCGTTTTGTGTAATATCAAACAACAAGAAGCTATCACGTATGAAACCTCTCCGGGCTTGCTGAAATTGCAGTAGTGGGGTGTATTACCATCGGTCAGTGTGTTAACGTATGGTGGTAATGGTTACCACTCTTCCTCCACGTGCTGACGCATTGACACACTGCAACCATTTTGTAAAAGAAAGCAGAGCTAATAAAAGACGGTGCATCATCACTACAGTATCACCACCAAATGTCAACTTTGCGCTCAAGTACAGTAGTATGGCAAATTGTATATATGAATGCATGTTTTGGCTATGGCCATGCAGATGAGCTTGGTCGTCATGAAACTCGTCAACAGCGATTCTGCTTTACGCAAAATGTGGCAAGGAATCTTGATAAGGTTGTCACAGTTTAGATAGTGCTGATGAGAAAGAGCTTTACGCGGGTATTACTTAGACATCGTGTATGTATCATGCATGAATAAACGGGCCTGACATCCAGCAAAAAAGAGTAAGGTTGTACTGTTATGCATTTGCTCGCGAGGATTGTTTCGTGCGTATGGAATGTACTCAAAATAGCAACCAAAAGAATCCTTTCGAGATAGTAGGTTGCAACTCGCGTTTATTATAGTGCTACGCCAACTATTTGGTACAATTACTTTCTAGATGTTTTCTGCTGTGCTTCATCGGCTTTGTTATCGTCCGCCTCAAGCTTCCGCTTTCCATTGCTGATTTAACGGAAGGGGTTGTTTTTTTATTAGAAATAACAGACGCTGTTCCCCTTGCCTTCCCTCGAAGCAAATCATTCCTCAATAGAGAGATATAGCTACCTCGCAAATGCCACTTCTGGACTTAATCTGAACGAAAGGCAGTACATATCTTTCTTTGGTGCAACATTCCTCACCCAATGTGCCACACTTGTCGCACGGTCGATGGGTGCACCGATCACTTGACTTGCTCGCTATTTATTTGTTCCCGTGATGAGTGTGATGCGGGTAACTCAAAGGAAAAAAAAAGCACATAGTTACCTCAAGAATATCATTGGCAGGCTCCGAACTTTTAGTGAAACAGTGGCAATGGATCATGGGAAGCTTTGCGGATTGTGAAGCATCGTACCGGACCTTCTGATCACGATATAGTCCGTGAAACGTATCTATGATTCCACCGGGAGCAAGACCAAACAAGTCGTTCATTATCCAGTCTTATACAAGCGATAAAATCCAATAATCAATGAATTACCAAGGAATTCAATGGCTGTTGCAGGAAGATTCATTACAAAGTGGTCAAACGTTTTCCATTCTTCCGATGTTGCTTGAAGATCCTCTACGGCTTTTCGGATAAATTCCCGTCCGTCCAGGTTGTACGGGTGGATACCTTTGGTAATCTGCCCAATTATTGTAGTTTACCAATTAATGTCTATGCCTCGTGGTGGACGCCATATATTCACACCCACGTATTTGACTGGAATAATAAAAAGATATCATGATCATTCTAACCAACCTTGTTAAGTTTAATATTCTCATTAAGCCATTGATAGGAAGCCGGATTCAGGTCGTTGGCATATACAATTGCTCCCTTTTTGGCGGCAGGCAATGCGAACGGACCCACACCCGCAAACACATCACCTGACAGTAACAGCCCAATAAAAGTCAATTCTTTGTCTCTTCCATGTCCAAAGCACCACGACTTACAGATATATTCGTTTTTCTTGAACTTTTGAATGAGACGATCATGTTCCGTATGTAACCGAGAATTCCAATAGACTTTGGAAAAGTCAAACTTAAATCTACATCCGCTTTCTTTCTACGTTGATGTTGTTGTTACACAATCAGCTTCGGATCCATCTTCCAATATCTGGTCGGGGGAACAACGAACGCATCTTACTTACCACTTGAGCAATCATATTGTCCTCTCCAGCAAGGATTTCCATCTGAAAGAAACGGAATGTAGTGTCGATATTGTTTGTCTTGTTCACAACAGTTGTGATGTTTTTGTTTTTCTAAACGCGTTCTTTATAAGTTGCTTCTCCCTTCTTCTAGTATTGGCTGGAACCAGAGCAGTCGACACTTACATCCAGAATAACTTGACCGATCAAATTCTTCCATGGATAAAACTCTTCTTTCAAGTTCATGTGCGCTAAAAACAGATCGCAAACTTGTTAGTTTCAAAAATCGCAATTAAAAGGGCTATCATCTGTACCTATATGACCAATTTGTGTATAAGATGCTGGTGCGTCTTCAGCAGGAATGACAGCATGCAAAAGTTGATCTATAACGAGAAATAATCACAATTTAGCAATCCCCACTACATGCGATAGATATTACTATTTATATACCAGCAGTCCAGTAAGAATAATCTAAATCAATCGTGTGCTGCTCAAATCCAACGCTCGCTTGTTCGATCACTGTTCTAATCTCTTCGGGTAACTTTGGGATATCTGGGATTCTCCCCCTTTAGTTTGACAACATTGTAGGACCCCGTAGTTTTTTTCACGCAGCGTACAATACCTTCTTGACGCAAATCACTTCTTAATAACAAAAGTTTTGTATCGTCACTCCCATTCACAACATTGCGCAGACGCGGTTGATTCAGGAGCTCACTTGCAAAAGAAATAAAAAACTTTAAAATCTTTTCATTTTAATTCATAAAGAGTGTTTTTACCTTGAAAGCTTCTTCATGAGATCGCCCACCCGTTTTGCTTGTACGCGCATGGCAAGAGTCGACACAGACTTTTTGAATGCCTCACGATTTAAGACGGTCATGCCGTGTTGAACCGGAGGGACAAATGCACTCATTATGTCTTCTTTTCTTTTTACTAGCGAATGGATCGATCGCACCACAGGGATTCTTTTTTCTTTACCTCCGTTTGAATTATTGTGAGATGCTCACGGACATTTATTTTTCCGAATGCTTTTTAGAGATGCCTGTTAGCAGTTAGCAACAACATCAACAGTAGCGAAAGTTACTGTATAGAACCATCTGGGAATTGCCAAACTCATACACATCCTTGAGTGGAAATGCAACGTCCAATTGCACTTTATTAAGTTTTGTAAAAGGACAGCTTATTCTACTTTGCGAATTTGTTGACATATGCAAGCCATGAACCAGGAGCAATTCCCGTCGATGAGCCTTTACTACGAGTGCTACGCCTTGAGACTTCTGGTTTCGATGCATTGCTTTGGTCCTAGAAATGGATAGTGATATTGATGAGTATGTGTAGAGCATATAAGCTATTGATTGAATAAATACATACTGTCATTCTCTTTTTCATGCCATTGGCCAAATTATGCGCATGCTTATTCAATTCTCGTATCAGTCTGTGCTCTCGCTCGCCCTTTGGATTCAACCATGCTAAAAGCTTGTCAATCTGCAAGAGCATAATCAATATTCAAAGTAATGAAGCCGGCCTTTTTAATCACATCGAGAAGAAAAGAAGAAATTCCTTACGTCTTCGGGATCATCGTAACTTCTCCACCATTCTTCAGTCTGCAACGTGGTAGCAGCCGCGTTATTTGCCATTCCATCCATACTGCGTATCCGCTGCTCCATAAAATCTGCTTCTTTGGCGAATCCTTGTGCTTGCATCAATGCAGATACGAATTGAATGCCTCCGCCGTGCCCGCACGAAGGAGTTGTGGAGTTGTTGTTAGCGTTCGATGTATTCGTTGTTACTGGAATGGTTTGAGTGAATGACAGAGGATCGTTTCGTTCTCGTATAATGGTAAGGTCGAGGTCACTTGGGCTTTGAACAAAAAGCCTTCCAGTGCCATGTACATGTGCGCCACCGATATTGTCAAGGTACATGTAGCGATTGAAGAATTTGTCGCGACCCAGAGGTTTTATCCGCAGAGTACTATATTTGCGCATGTTGTGTTCAAGTTGCTCTTCCTGTTGAGCAAAAAAAACAAATGGTGGTTAGCATCAAATACTTTTAGAGGAAGGTGCTGGCTCTTTCATTACCTTTTTATACACATGCCGCTCTTCGTCATCCAATTTCTTACGGGCAGCATTACGGGCCTTGAGCTCTTGGTTTCGTGCGCGCGCTTCCTCTCGTTGCTGATGATACATTTTAAGTCTCTTTGCTTCTCGTTCTTCACGCTCTATTTGTTTGCGCTTCAATAATGCTTGTCGAGACTCGGTTCGAGAAGGTGACGGTGTCGAGGTGTCTGCTTGAGACGATGACCTATCACTGTAAATATTTCCCGTTATTAGAAAAGGTTGAATAGTATACGATTATGCGGTCCGATTACTCACATATTTTCTTCATCATCATCAGAATCGTCTGAAGACTCATCCTCATCAGCATCAGGGTTGTTTGCTTTTTCCTCTACATCAATCCGTTTCTCGAATTCTTGCCGTTCGGCGTGACTACATGGCAAAATATGAATCTTTAGCAATGTGATCCTTATAAAACACATGATATAATCACAGGAAAATGTCTAGCTTACTACTTACATTCTCTTTCTTTCACGGCTCAAATCGATCTTTTGCTTTCGTAGTTCAGTCATTTGCTCTTGACATTCTTCCATAAATTCCCTAATAGTCGAATCGATAAGTTTCTTTCTTTCTCAGCAGTATGTGCATAACTGACAGGGTCGGCTTACTTGATAAAAGAACACTCATTGACAAGACCAACGAGCATTTCGAACATGAACACCTTGTCTTTTAAACTTAATCGCAAATACGCTTCCTCTCGCTCTTCCAATGTCGTATCCTCTCGTGGTACAAGATAGCTGAATATTCTATCAACATTGCTAGCTTGATCCGGTGTAGTGATCTACAAAAATCCGGCCTCGTAAGTAATAAGTTTGCATATGAATTTAGCAAATAACCAATGCTTACATCATTAATGCACCCAATCATGACATCTTCCCATCCTTTACGATCATTGCCAACAGGGATAAGTTTCGCATCCCATGCTCGACCAATTTCGTAGATTTGGGGGCTTGTCCACACGGATTCATTTTCTGTGTCAGTTGGGTTAATGATGGCGGATGTTGATGCAGAACCATCTTGATCTTCGAAAGTGCTATCTCCTGCCTGGTGCTCGTCCTCGCTCGTCAATACGGATGGTTGGCGGCTGGGAGATGGTGTAGGGGTTCCGCGCAACGATGATGATGTCGGCGTGAGGGTACCAGGAGCAGTTAGTAGCGAAACGTTTTTCGATTTTTTCCGTTCTTTAATGATTGTGTTGAGGAGACAGACATTGCTTTCGATCAAGATCTGAGACTTGTCTACCGGACTGGTGTGTAAAAGTGCGCTTTCAAAATCATCAAGAGGGAAAGGATAGAGACCAAGCGACCGTGCAAAAACACTGATAAACGACCAAACCATCAAGAGTGAACCGAGAGCATCAGAAGGTACAGTTTGGTGTTGAGAGGGTGTCGGACACAATGGCATACCACCTGTTGGATTGGGGATCGTTTCTTTTGCTTTCGGTTGTCCTGGTTTCATGTCGAGAATGGGTCCTTCACCAGATGGCTTGCGTCGATAAATTGGAACGTCCAGATCCTCGATTGGATACTTGATCGACGATTCTATCTTTTTCGCATCATCGACAGTCTTTTTCATTTCACTTTTACCGCGAGCTTTTGCAGTGCTAACGGATGACTTTGCTTTAGTTTTTGTTGATGTCTTTCCAGAAGCGTCGGCTTCGGCACCGTCAAGTTCACCATTTGTAAAATCGGAAGCTGGAGTCTTTCGTTTGCGCGATTTAGCATCGATTTGATCCTTCACGGCTTGAAGGTCTTTGGGTAGTGTTGTGTCAATGCCGAATTTAGCAGCAGTTTGTGCCTAATAGCTCACAAAGTTATTCTTTTCATGTTCATTGTAGTTTAATAAAACTACCATTCACGCTATATATATATAGATATCTGTATATATACCTTGACAACCCATGGTGCATGATTATAAGATTCTTTGACCAAGTTCTCTCGGAGAAACTTCTTAAGCAAGTTCTTTGAAAATGCCAGTCGATCGCGTCTATGCGTTGATTTATTTAAACCAGATTAGCAAAAAGCTTTTAATCGACACTCATATACCCTTCGTTATACTCAAGTAATGGCACCTACTTTAAATCATCTTGGTTAACCACCGTCCGGAAATCATCCACTCCCGAGAGATCGTCATCCACAAGTTCAACAAGGAAATTGACGCCAGATGCATTGCCGTTCGTTGTAGCATTGGACGTAGAATTCTCATCGATTATTTCTTTGCCGTTTACTTTGGTTCCACTGTTAGTCGCGAGTGTAGAACTTTTTGATATGGGATGTACATTGTCAGAGACTACTCGTAGAACGCGCGCGATATATCTATATCGAAAATTAATGTAAAAGTAAAGAGGGCATTATCTGGTCAATAACAAAATCTTTCCTAATTGATCAACCAATTTTACTTACTTGACACCATCGTTCCATCGACATGTAACCATATCTCCTGAATCAAATCGGTTGATATAGTATTCGTGTACGTCATCCACCACAGCATCTAAACGACCGCATTCTATAAGAATAATGAAAATGATTAGTTAAAATAACCACATAAGCAAGGCATTAGGGATTACACTAAACAGCCAAACAAGCCCCTCCCCCTTCGCACCTCTTCCACAAGGATAATGAAAATCTGTATCTGCACGTACGGAATTGCGCTCGTTCCAGTACACGTTTCTGCAGTGCATCGGGTAATTTCTCTTTGACACGGTTCTTCTCAGTACGTTCGCTTTCCAGAGCTTCCTCATACGTAAGGTTGCTACGGCCTGACACTTCGCACTGCCATACATGTGCCTTATACAAGGTGTAGCGCTTCAAATAGGATCTACAAGTTCATTGCACAACAAAAAGAAAAGGTTATGGATTGACATGTGTATATCTAGAAAAATAAAAGCATCGTGTGATTTAAAAAGCGAATCAACGCGTGTTGTCAAAGTCGTAACACGCGTGTTATAGATTAGCGCAATCGAAAAGCGATCGCTTGCGCTGATGGTTGATTGAAAAGGATACTGATAATCGGTAAAGATCTCTGACGTGATCGATGAAACCCAGACTTGGCGATCTCTGGAATCTTTACGTTCGGGATCGAATGGAGGTGGTGGAAGTAGTGGGAAAGTTTTGCGCTTCAGCAATGGCATGGTAAAGCTTTAGCGTTGTTGCTACTGTTGTATGAAAGGAGGGAGACGCACGCGATTCGTCAAGTGGCTTGGTAAGGGAGGGGTTGTTGTTTTTGTATTCAAACGTAAGCAGGTTTCTGCAAAAGTGAGCTGGGCTGTTTTAAGAGGTGGTGTGAAACTATGGTAACGGGGATCAGCTGCCTCGGTTACGCGCTGTCAAATGTCGAAGACTTGGTTGAGGTCGTAGTGATGTATATCGCGATATATTAAGAGAAAGCGAAGGTGTGTATGCAACGTCAACAGTGGTGTTTGGAAAAAAATAACCTTGTCGCAAAGGAGTATGAAAAAAAAATAGGCGAAAGGAGAAAGAGAGAGAGAAAGAAAGAAGCAAGACAACCAACCGACGAAGATGAAACTGATCGCTGGCAGCAGGAACCACAAAGTGACTGAGTTCCAAATATGGACAGAGGAATATGTCATGCCCACCTACTCGATAATCTTGGTTAGAATCATCCACGCTTGATCCCCATTTATTATCCTCATATACTTTGATCTATATATACTATTTGTAAAGCGCAAACTATGTTTACAGCGCACACCAGCGGCTGCCATCACCGCTGAATAGTTTTACATGCAAACAAGTTAATAGTAGGAGGATAGAGTATTCTCTTAATGAGGTACTACTGTACCATAAGCATCATCGCTTATAAGTATAACTCAAATTATGGATGGCTCATTATTCAAGTAGCGTCCAAAAACCAATGGTTTATTGAGTACCTGTTTCATATTCAGGTATCTATAGATGCTTCTTTCTCTTTTAAAATGTCATTTAGTATACAGTAGCGCTATTCATGAACAAGAGTGGATAGGATAATAAAATGGTCGTGTGTAGCCCGATATGCGATTAAACAAACTACAGGATTGCGTAATTTAGTAATAAAGGAGAGTGATTTAATCAAATTTGTTAAGCTGGTAACTATTACAGACGACTAGGGAAGATATACAAAATAAAGATCTTCCTTATTTCTCATTTTTACTGTTTCTCTGCTTTTTATTAACGGTGGTAATTTGTTTTCAGCCGTAAGTTGCTGCCGACGCTGATTTTCTTTCACGTACAGTAGGTCCATCGTACAAACATAATAATAAGAGTGCAGAGGTCGACACTGCGGCCATATATATAACCATCGCAGTTGTGTATCTTGGCGCTTCATTGTCTCTCATCGAAAGAGGGTCCACAAAATTGCCTACGCAATAAACGGCTGTGGTCGCCGGTGCTGGAAAATATTAGTTGGTGTATCCGCTAACATTATTGGATACCATCGTAAGGGGATTTCCGTATTATGGGCCAATGACTGTTGAAAAGACACCTATAGCTATTGCGCCACTTTCTACCGATAGTACGCGAGCATGAGCAGGCCAACCATTGTCAATATACAGCCTCCAGCTGCAACATAGCCATTATCGTCAAACCGACGAATTGGGACCATGGATATCCCGATGAGAATAGTTGCTACGATACTGGCAGGAAAAACTGCTATCATATATGCAATCCGGAAACAGTTTGCCGTGAATGCCAGGAGCAGATCTTTACAGTCAAGCGTCGACCAAGGGCTGTTAAAGTACATACAGAATAAGCCTTGCTAAAGGAAATGTTTTGGCAATCAGACCATCTGCTTACTCAGCCCTATATAGAAAGTTATGTTATAACTGTTCACCACCTCCGGTTTGTGGCTCAGTCATCTTTAAGAAATAGTAATTTATGTCAAGTTTTAATGACAGCAAGCAACTGCCTCTAATATATAGCACTGTATGTACAGAAATGGTTTACAAAACGCCTTTTAGCAATGCGAATTGTAGTGGCGCTATTGTTTTGTTTTTATGTTATTCTCGTTGGTTTTGATTCGCTTGAACAAGTCTGGGCAGGAGATAAACAACTGCAACAAAACACCTCTTATTTCTGATCGTTATGAGAGTGTTGTATATGCATGGTTATTATGTTCCCACTCATAAGGTACGCTTTATATTTGTGGAAGGCAAACATACAGATAGATCTTACAACTCTATTGTATTTCAAACTGAACTACGCACTAGTACTTTTTATAGGTATTTATTTAGTACATAATATCGATTCGCCCACGAATGTAAAGCACCGTTTGCAAAGAAAATGGGATAACAGCAGCAAACTATCTGCAATTAAGGAAATATATGTTTTGTTTTTCGTATATGATGGTTTCTGCAGAAATAAGAAATTCAATAGCTGGTTTATAAAAGCTATGGACGGTACAAAAAGAGTAAATCTTGTTTGTCTGTGCAATCCACAGGTTTACAATCCTCCTTCATAGATGGTAGTGGCACTTGTTGGCTTTCTTCTGCTTTCAAGTGTAATCGGTATTGGTTATCCTGCACGTAAGTCCACCGTACGTAAAGGAACAAGAAAGTTACAAGCAGCATCACGACCAAATAGGTTATCATGCCACCCAGATATCGTGGTGCTTGCTCCTCTCGCATTAAAAGCGGACCAACAAAGTTCCCAAGGCAATAGGATACCAGATTGGCACTATTGTACAGAACTTTCTTGCTGTAGCCATTAACGTTGTTTGCAACAAGTAGTGCTGGAAATATGTCAACCGAACCAATACTTAAGATGAAAATCCCCATGAGCATTACGCCACCTGTCGGGAGCACAACGAGCAGCAAGAGTCCAATAACAACGATAAATGCCATCAAGCAGCCGACATAGCAGTTTTCGTTATAGCGATGACTGAGATATATGGCAGTAAAGTCAAGAATGGCAGAAGTGATACCAAGAGGGATGTTCAGCAATGTCGATTCCAAATTCTTAAACAACGGAGCGTACAAAAGAATCTCGCTATTAGATATTATACCCCCTTTTCCCAGAACCAGCATTAGATGTGCGTGCAATACTTTTATTTTTGGCATGCACATCACCAAAGTAAAAAGCACTTACCGAGAAGCCCATACTCTTGATAATGAGGGTGCTAAAAATCGACGTAACGCCATTTACCATGTTATCGAAAAAGGGTATCAGAGACATACAGTAAAAGCGTGGCTCTTTTATTGCCTCCAGCAACTGCTCGCTTTTGATCTTTTTGTTTTGGACCACTGTATTGTCACGTATTCGTTCGTCCACAATTTGAGTTTCTTGAAGAGTGAGTCTGTACCATCGCGATTTAGCTGTATCAGGCAGGAAAAGAAAGGTGCAAATGCCGACACCAACAGTTATTGCGCCCAAAATTATCATGTTCCTTTGTAGAAATTGAGGGCGGGTGAATTTCTGGGAATATACTGCAGAAAAGTAAAAATACGATGATGCTAATGTATAAATTAACGGTACCATTTCCATGCGCTTAATCCATATACGCCGTTCATATTTCTTAAAAAGCCAAAACTAATCAGGCCTCCAAAAGCACCAGCAAAGGCGCTGCTCATCTGGATCACACCAAACCAGGTTACTTGCTCGGAACGCCGATATATAATGCTGACGAGTAGATACAGTGCTAGTGTACGAGCAAGAAAAAAGAAAAAAGCAATGTTGGTACAAACACAATGGTAGTGGGCTTTCAGCACAATAGCTCCTTTTACACGTATCGTAAAACTTTACCGGGATAGCTAGCAGCTTCAGCGAAGCCCAAAAGGAAACGCAGAGCAGCCATTTGAGCAAAGTTTGTGGCGAAAGCGGTACAGCCCAGTATAGTGCCCCACACAATGAGTGCTGTACCCAAATATTTGGAGATTGGTATTTTTTGTAACAAGTACTGGTTCGGAAACTACATATGATAGTTAGAGCTCTACGTAAAATACAGGTCCTCGCAATAAGCTTCATAAACGGGAAGTAATGGCGACCGTCATCGGTGTTTCCGCTTATTATAGAGGTAGTACGTACCTGAAGTGATAAATAACCCAAATAATATATTGACCCTAACCAACCGAATTGGTTGCCAGTTATCTTGGTATCTTCGAAGAGGCCCATCACTGATGAAGTATTCAAAATAGTTTTGTCTAGGTACTTCATTATCATCTTAATTAGTAGCCTAATGTATAAGCGTCTATTATTTTCAATCCACTTTGTAGTATATGTTTACCTGCAGAAAACAAATGACGCATATGTATGGAACCGTCATTATATTGATTTTCCGAAGAAGTTTCTCCTCTTCCGGTGTATAGACAAATCTTTTACTGTTGGGTGGCGACAACGTCCGTCTTTTCCACATCGTACGTACTACTAACAATATGTTTTTTTTCAAATAAAATAGCATTAACGCCAAAAAAAAGTTTGCCGTTCGATTTTTTAGAAAAATAAATACATGGATGCTTGCGGCATCCTTCTTATGGAACGTTTTTTTATTAGTCGCTTTGTGTTCTCCCCACATGTCGCTCCCGTGAAATGCTATATATAATGAAACCTACGAGTGTAATGTATGTTGTAGCTAGTATATCAGTAGAGTGGAATGGGATACTCTTAAAGCGAACGTTGAATGTATATCAAGTGTTAAGGAGAAGAAAGAGAGGGGACACGAGAAAAATAATACAGTCGGGACCAATTCCTATTCCTTGCCGATGATCATGCATTATGCTGCAGTTGTGGCTTCCTTTTCCAGAGCTCCGTTAAGCTGATCTATGAGCATTACTATGCATCAATACAGAAATCAGGAGTTTATCCCAGTCGCTTTTCTTTCTTAGCATTGCTATATATAAAATGGTCTTATCGTCAGTCTAGTACATAGTACACTCTGTTGTTGCATTATTCGTCATTAGTAGCAGATCTTCCATTATCCCTTTCCTCTGCTAACTGTACGCTGAAAGAAACGATCTGTTAGAGTCAAGGCAGACAAAGCCGGCTCAATTGTTACAAAAGCGTAGTTAACGATGCATAGAGCATATAGCACACTAGAGCGTAGAACACAACTGATTAGTGCCAAATACTATTGCACTACGTAAAGATCAGGTTAACAGTTATACTACCACAGCTTATAATACTGTGTCCATATTAGAAGGGCGAATATTACTAGCATCATCATGCTTTGACTTGTCCTGCGCAACTGATCACCCCACACATCGATGTTGGGTGCGACGTTCTGTCTATCCGCATGGAAGCAGCGCGATCACGAGACTACAAATACAAGGATGCGAGTTTCTTTTCCATGCGATAGTCCACAGCACCATCAACCCATACATATGCAAAAAGAAATTGCTACTTGCGCGCACTTTCCCATAAACATACTCCATCTGGATAGCATACTACGGAGGAAGTAGTGGTGCCGCGGTTCTTATATACTGAGCACTGTTTTGGAAGAAACAAAAACATCAGCTCATGCTTTCGAATGCAACCTATTAACAGATATAGTTCGCTATCGGAATCAATCTGCCGTCAGCTGTAAATCGTCTCCAGCAACCATCGAACGAAGTACTGACATATGTTATACTGTGCTACTATCCAATACCTTAAATGATCACATCAGCCTGTTTCCCTGACGTTAAAGCGGCATGAAAAACAGGTCTGACTCAGCACAATAAACGTTCTGTTTCTTCTGCTTTTTTTGTTGAACCCTTTTCTTTGTACAAATGTGCATTCTTTTTTGGACAGTAGACAATCACCCTCGCTACCGATTGTAAGTAAATGCACAAAAATGAACAGGAAAAAAAGGCATTTTAAATAAATGGAACTTGAATAACAATTTAGCATATTTGCCGCCAATCGAGACGAATTCTTGGATCGCCCTACGGCACATGCTCATTTCTGGCCACCGCCTAATAACGATATTCTTGCTGGTACTGATCTCGAAGCACAAGCAACACCGCTACATAATGGTACTTGGCTTGGCATTACACGGACAGGGCGATTTGCCGCATTGACGAATTATCGAGAACAAAAGTTTCTCGGCGGAAGATCCCGAGGGGCGCTGACGCGAGACTTTCTTTTCCACGGGAGTTCATCGGTGCACGATTATCTCAAGCAAATTGAAGCTCATGCAAGCGACTTTGGTGGGTTTAACTTGATATGCATGGACTTGAAGAAGAAGGAGAAATTGCATGATATGGCGTATTTCAGCAACCGCGAGAACAGCCACATTACAGATTTGTCGCCAGGCACGGTCTATGGTATATATACAAACGTGTGTGTGTGTGTTGTGCAAGACGAGCCTTCCGAGAAACAGCACGGAGTAAAGAACGGGAGCTGTGTGGGGTAGAGTGGGACAAGCTGACAAGTCGACACCGTCTACTTTTATCTTTATACGCGGGATTTACAAGGCCTTTCCAACTCAGTGCTAGGGAATCCGTGGGAAAAGGTCAAGCAAGGGCGAGAAAAGTTTGGCGAGATCGTCCAGGGTGAGTTCGATGACGAAGAAGGCTTGATCGACCAATTGTTTGACTTTTTGAGGTAAAGATAGAAATGAGAAAGGGGACCGAAATTTAGCGGGATAACCTTTTTTTAATGATTGACGTAATTGGTGCACCAATAAGCACGACTGCCGACCCGCTGCAATCATCATCCGACCAGAGTTTAGCCCAGATTATGGAAGCGAGCAAGCACTGGATATTTGTGCCCAGGTTCGGTTACCTGAATTCAATCTATGGGACACGCACGAGCACGGTGATTCTGGTGGACCACAGTGGCAACGTGGTGTTTGTCGAACGCGATCGCTACGAAGAAGTAGGCGAGGAAGAGAGCGCCGGTGCTGACGGTGGTCAAAAGAAATCATACAAGCCCTTGAAGGACAAAGGTCGGGTTTTCCGATTCAATATCGACGGGGACAGCAGCCAGTAGTCTCTCGGAGATAACAGTTAGCCAACTTTTTCCAGAAACAACTGCTCCCACACGCCCTCCAAGGATTACTCACACTGGCACTCGCACTCACGGCATACAACCCCAATTTACCCGATATATATTGTTTGTTTATTCGCAATCGATCCGATAATGGTCCCCCTTTCCTCATAATCACATCTCCCAATCAAAATAAACTTTGCATCGCTGTATTTTTACGCGCCGTACTCCTGGGCCCGATGCCACGGGCAGCGATATATGAGCGGAATGCAAATGCCACGTTTCTTGGGTTTTTTCGGTTGTTGCAACGAACTCCTGAAGCCAAGCAGAGCGAAATGCCACGTTTCACGTGGAGTGCGTGTGTGGCATGTCAAAATGTCACTTTCTTTTCTGTGCTGATCCAATCGTTCGGATTATATTTATCAGTGACAATAACCCGCCACATCGCGATCGAATCCTAAACTCTCTTTCCTTTTCCTTTCCTTTTCCTCTCTTTTCCTAACCTCAACCCCTCCCACCGTGCCTTTTGCAAGGTATCACAGTCCGATTCCTTTCTCTCCTACTTCCCCACTCCTCACCACCAACTTTCCACCACCACTCGCCATCCGATTCGTCATGACGTTCACACTAGGTACTACTGGCACTAAGCCCTCTTTCTGACCCTTTGCTATGAGGATGTCTGTCTATAGTACACGTCTAACAGCCTTCTTTGTGCGTCTTTTGACAGTTGGAGGCCATGACAAAAAGATCCCTCTAGAACAACAGTATCACCCGTGTCCGCGTTGCGATCGTCCAACAGTCCAGCTGACCCGTTCTGAGACCCAGTTTGTTATTTTCAACCAAAAGATTGGAAAGTCCACCAACATGCGCGTCCGCTATGAATGCCAAATATGCGGATGGAAGAACGAGAACCTGCCCGACAATCCCAATGACAGGAGCTACAGCTCTTGGGAGGATGAAACTGACAACAACCACGACAGCGACAATAGCAACAAGAACACGACAACAACAGGTGCTGCTGGAAACTAACGATAATCACATCAGCAACGTGCTGATTCATTAGTTTCCTACAATCTCTTATTATTTGCTTGTTCTTCTCCCCTCTTCCCTTTTCACCTTTTCCCTCGCCAACTATCTTACTATGCTCTTATCCAATCACACTACATACGTCGTGATTTTTGTATACCTATGCACGCCTGTCCTTTCCATGTTGCTATTACCTTTCCCCCCCTTTTACTATATGCTTTACTTATAAACCTCAACTTATTTGACACATATCACACGCCCATTCCAGCTCGCCCTACAATCTATCTTATGGCACAGCCGGCAAAAAGAAAGGTCAAAGTAAATTGAGAGCAACCAACCACTGGCGGCGGAGAACAAAGTTCCATTCGTGGGGCGAAGAAGGTTCATCACCCACGCCCTTGTATCGCGGGTCTCTTCTTGGCAATCTTGATTGCGGCAGAGCACCAGCCCTAGCTCCGAGAAGGAGCTAGAAGTGGTATGCTATGCGGTTCTGATAGGCACTCATAGTTAATCCAGTATCTGTTACATTCGTGCAATGCTTTTTTGTTGTTGCATGGCTTACTACCATCTACTAAACATCCAAGTAGTACAATCCAAAACCACGACGGCTGCTCGCGCCGGAGCAAGACGTTCCGCACGAGCAGTGGGCCATGGATAAAAGGTACTTGATACTGGATATGGCTATAGCGCCTGAAACGTGATCCCATTTATTAAGAGGCCAAATTTACAGCGACCTTTCCCATATATTTCGTTTCTGCAGTTATTGGGCTATTGGGTATGCTATTATTATATATTATGTTGTATGTTCACATGTGTGGTGTGTTGTGCAATGTCGATCATATCGTGTTTTTTTTGTGTAAGAGGGGCAATTACCACAAAATCAACCTATTTTTTCTGACATGAAAACATCGTATCCAATTTTTGTGAACAGCTGTGAGCCGAATTGAGAGTTCTGACTTCGACAATAGTCAATTCAAGTGATGATGACACCATAAACCGTGATTAATCTTGAGTACCTGATAGCAGAGGACAGGAGTGATTTGAAGTTCTACTCGTACAAAGTGTTCTGATCGCTCTGAACCGCCGACACTGTACTCTTCTACAAAGAAAACATGAATATGTGGAAAGCGAGCTCACCCGATCCTTGTTTTGTTTTTTAATTCTGATTTTTCGAAATCAAGCAGCTCGCTCATTGCCATGTGGGAAAATAACATTAAATCTGCCTTGGTGATCAACACGACAAAGAATTCGTTTTTCAAATTCGATTGGCGCTGCTTGATACGTCCCAGTGCTGTCATGAAGGGATCAGCTGGAGTGTTGAATTGGGAGATGGGGTGGGAATTGCTTTTTGGGTCCATAGCAAATAAGTTTCGTAAGGGGGAAGAAATAAATCGAGGGCTTGTAAGTAGTCGGCACACATATAACATTGAAATGCCGTTAGTCTCTTTGGTGTTCTTTACCCATGCATACAAAGGTATGCGTTCTGGTGTTTTACTATTTGGATGCATACAGAACTGAGATGCTTACCCTCGCCATTCTACCAGGTGATGAATGGCTCCTATGCTTGGTAAAGCTATATGGTAAATAACGCACGACCGAGTATGGCGCAGACTCAAGATTGGAAAAGGGGGGGGGTACCCTATGGACATTGTACTTGCAACAACTCGAGTGGAAGGGACAAGTTATACGTCACCTGTTTAAATACTATATAAACTACCCCGAAATGATTCCTGGGGATGTCCACTTTGGAAATGTTAATAGTATATAGTCATCCACTCAATACACCTACGCGCACAAACATACTTATAAACTGAATGAAAAGAATTCAGAACCGCTTTTGCCACCAATAAAGACATTGCTTACACATAGTATTCTCCAAAAGTTTCATCCTCTTGCTACTTCTGCTGCTGTAGAGTTTGCCTGAGCCTACTACTATGACGTGGTGTGGCGTCATCGCATGATACTGGAAGGTATGCATTATTGCAATCGAGCTGTTTGCTTGCAAATCAAGGCCTAGTCCAAGGAAGCTTCGGCTGAGGCTAGCGCTGTAGGGTGTTCAGCCGTCAGGCACAGGTGCTGGGACTGTCAGGCTTTGGCTTGGCTGAAGTTTAACGGAGCGGTCCCCGCTTATAAACGCGTAAGCATCTCTCATTTTTTTTTATATGCGTTTGATCGTTCAGTGCATAAATGATTTATACTAAATCTTCCGTGTGAATTTTGATTCCTGGATTAGTTCCATGTTGTGCTCTTAAGTAGCAATAGCCTAGATTATATTTTTGTGTGATCCTTCAACTGGTCCAACGCCTACTCTAATACTCGTTGTAGGCGTGCTGCATCTATGAAGCTGTATACATGGTCGTTTTATTGATTATGCCCGCTACTACTGCTGTGCATATGCCTAATTCGGCGGTGCAACGTCACAGGCAAACCGCGCGCATTTGGAAGGGAACAACTCAGGGCAAGTTCATTCACACACACTCATATTTAGGAACCTTCTACCCTGTACATATATAATCCCTTCCCCTCCTCCACAACTTTTCTTTTGCTAAATACAAACGTAACACAGCAAGATAAACGCACATATGCCAAAATGTCCTTGATAACCGATGCGAATTTCTTAATACATGAGATGCGGATAAAGTTACTAAGAACTGACGAGCGAGGCGAACGCATTGTGTCGTTTCGTCCAACCGTCATGTCTGATGACTATATTCGACTTGCTGCACCAGCGTACCCAGAAATGCAATACTGCTATTCGCCAGTTTATGATAACTTTTTCACCAAAGGCAACGGGAATGGCGGCAGCAGCGGTGGCACGAATCTCGTCAGCAGCCCACGAACCAAACGGAGCCATTATCGTCTGCGCAAAAAGGAGAATATGAATCCACCCAATCTTCCTGTAATGCCAAAACCAGCAACGACACCTGAAAGCGGTAATGAAGATACTGACGGTGATCTCGGGTGAGCTGTTAATTGAAATATAGCTTTGTCCACCAGAAAAAAGCATAGTAATTAACACGCTCCCCGTTCTCTTCTTTCTATACTTTAGAACCAACAAGCCGTTACCACCCACACCAATGCGAAAACAGTCTGCGCCAACATTATGCGTGACTGAAGCATCCAAGTCGCTTCGTCCGAGGTTTGCAGATGACACAGGAGCAGCTGCTACAGCTGCAGCATCAGTAACTTCAACGACCGCTACGTCCCTCCATAAAGAAACCGTAATTAGATCACACACGCGCACTACATCAAGCACGACGTTTTCGTTCCATGGCACGAACGGCAGTGAAAATGCTACAATGACGTCGCTACATCCTTCTATCGAATCACCTATCGACCCTTCCCCTCGATCATCCCTTGATGTGGACGGTGACCAGGCGTCATTTCCTCTACCTGTGGAAACATCTTCTGTGAAAGATACGAAGGGAAAATCTGTGGATATGCGCATCCAACAACAATCGCAGTCATCGCGACAGCCATACTCTCTTGATCAACCGCAAGGACAACAACAACAAAAGCAGCAGGAAGAAGATACGCCGCAGTACTCACCGCTTGTTTATTCAAAAATTCAGATACCCCCATTGTACCACAAGGTTCAACAACAGCAGCAGCAGCAGCAGCAGCAGCAGCAGGAGCTTCCAAAACCGACTGTACCTGCAGCAACAACATCCGCGACGACAAACACCAACTTGCCTCCTCTTAATCTTGCTCCAAATCTACCGACTGCGCATCGACGACGACGGTACCCGAGACAACAATTACAGCAGCAACAGCAGCAGCAGCAACAACAACAGCAGCCGCCACCACCACCACCACAAGTACCATCTACTCAGGAGGGAACATCGACCTCCTCATCACAACAACCTGCACCACGACAGCCTCCTAAATCCAATCTCACAGCCATGATCGCTGAGCGTGCGTCGGCAGCCGACAATCCGTTCAACGAGTTTTCCTTTGTTTCTGGACGAGGCGAAGCGAAACCGATCACGCTATGTGTATACTTACCGCATTGGACACATCCTTACAAGCCGATTAATTTGGTGGTGCGTCCTGATGCAATTGTGGATGACGTGATTGGATATATCTTGTACGATTATGTGGAAAAGAAACGGAAACCTTCTTTGCAAGAGGAGATGTACGACATTGCGCAGTGGGTGTTACGGATAGCAGAGGATGACGGTGAAATTGAAGAAGATCTACCAGGTAAAAGATCTTTATGCGGATATAGCACTCGTCAGAAAGCTATTTATTGACGTGTTCCTTATAATAGCATTGGATCGAACACGACAAATCAGCATGGTATCATTCGATCAGTTTGCTTTGTGTCGTACGGCACCTGAACAAGGTAATATGGATGATTCTAACTGAATATGTTTCTTTATTAAGATGAAAGGAATGCACTAACCTGAGGATTCTTTTAATGAAAAAAAAGTCAAACAAAATGAAATGATACGTGCCAAGCTGGGAAAAACTGGGCCGGATCTCAGCAAGACCAAAAAAGCAAATACACAAGATGCACAACTTGCCGTTGCACCTTCGCCATCTGCAGGTGGATCCTCATCAGCGAACACGTCGACGACAGCTGTAGATTTAGGTCCACTGGATCCAGTCACTGTTGGGCCTACGTATGCTTCACAACAAGAAGCCGACTCGTCTGCCGTCGCTGTGCCTATTCCTTCCTCCAAAGCCATGCTGACGAAGTCCACTATGCATATGACACCCGTCAAATACTTTCGTATTCAGTTGATGACCAATGAAGAAGTGTCGGCAACAACAACAATACCAGCCTATGCCGAGATGTTTATTGGCGATGTGCTTGAATTAGTGTCGCGGAAGCGTAAGCTCGATCCAGATGAGCATATGTTAACAATTGCGGATAGCAATGTGATTGTACCAAACGATACAACAGTGGATAGTATGAGAAACGTTACCGAATTGTGTTTGATGCGGAAAGGTGCAGGTCTCACCGTTTCTAGCTGTAAGTTTTCTTCATCAACCATCGCCCTATTGAACGCATTTGCGATCATCCTACTTAGCACATGTATTCATGTAGCAACGCACATCTGGCGCTCACCGAATCGCAAAAAGAAGGATGAATTGTATTACCCAGCCATGTACAACGCAAGCTCATCGACCAGTGGCAACAATGGCATTCTTTCGCAATACAAAAAATATTTTGTGAATCGCAAGATGCCAATGTTTGTTGGTCGACGAGAAAGTGTGATTGCAATCGATGGCGACTATATTCATATTATGCCGCCCGAGCACAAAGGAATGTTTGACTCTGTAAAAACGGTAAGCTTTTGCGAGAGCTAAACCAGAAAAGGGTGGGGGTCAAATTTACAATGATTTTCTATCAATTATGGTCATCAACAACTGCATATTAGACATCCTTCCATGTCAGTGATGTTGTATCGTGTAAACAAAGCAAGAAAGCACCTTCCAACTTCAAGATCACTGTGCTCAAAGATCAGAGTCACAAGGCGTATGATTTCGAAGCAATGAATGCTAAAGAAGCTCGTAAGTGTGTAAAGCGTGTGTGAAAGCTAGTCAAGAAAAGGGAGGTCCAGATCTATTTATTGACAATTGCTCACATAATCTCTCCTACAGAGGAGATCTGTGCAAGAATCAACTTTTTAATGCAAGTCTGCAAGGCGTCCTGACTCGTTCGCTGAGGCGTATGTTTCCTATTTTGGGCTATTTACTTGATGCACTACACGTCATACAGCCTTTTGTAAAGAAAAAGGAGAACCTTTTTTTTTCGTCATTGTACATATCTTTTACGGGATACCCTATTTCATCCAAAAAAATCTGTTTCTTTGTTCCTTTCATTCTTTCTTATTTACTTTGTCTAGAACGCATTTTTCTGTCTTCTTCTTCCTCTTTTTTACGATCAATCATCTTGACGGTGTCTTGTTCTCATGGCTAATTATCGTCCATAGCCATTTAAACGGTTGCCAGGTTACTACTAGCCATCACCGTTGCAACGTATTATACGTTACCAGGACGACGGTCACCATAACAACAACTCCTCATTGTATTTTGTTGTTCCATGGTCTCCTGTTGACAGACATGCTTCCCCTAAAACTCATAGGCGGGCAAAAAGAGAGCTGGTGAGCGGTGAACTGTATTACTTCATCCGAGCACATGTACGATATAACATTCACTCAAACGCACGTAGAATAAGGTATTCTCCTAAAATTTCGCTTATCCCATAATGTCTTGCCAACATAAAAAGATGGGGTAACATAGGAAGGGAATGATGACATACCGTAATAGGGCTTCCGGAATATCCATCACCATAAAAGAAGTCAGAAAAAAAGAGTGTGTGAAACATTAGATATGATGATTCTCGAATTTTGGCATCACCCACCCACCAATCGATGCTATTCTTATAGACAGGGGGGATGGGGGTTGGAGAGAATCCATATTTGGAGGTGGTGTAAGTTCAGCCATGATGTATGAGCAGCGTGTGGTACAGACAATACGTCATTGTTCATCCTCATTTCCCTTTTGCGGGTCAGACGGTTTTTTTTGTTGAGTGTGAGTTTGAGTGTATGCTGTGCGCTGTATTTTTTTAAAGATCTCTCTTCTCTCTCTCCCACATCTTTGTTCATTCCGCTTGGTTTTTTTTATCTCCTTGCTACTTCACTCTTTCAGCAAGTCTGCGCTTTAGTATCGCGTGCCCCCAGTCGACTGCATAGGCTCTTCATTCAACCGTTTCTGCCGTTCTCGATTCGTGTCAATCCTCTTACACTTCACGCATTCACCACCTCATAATACTTTATTCGTTCATACTCAGCTCGTATACGCTCCCCTCCTCTCTTAGACCCCTTTCTTTCTTCGGTAGCATTACGTTTTCTTTCCTTACATACATTCTTGCAATTACTGCTTTAGCACATGAACTTGTAGGGGAACGTTCAAATGTCGTCGGAACACCCGTCTTCCTTGCCGGTACTCAGTAGCAGTGATATGGGTTCATCATCATGTGGTTCGCCACGCAGTATATGTTCACCTGCTACGACACAATACCACGCTCAACTCTATTCAGGACAACAACAACTACAAAAACGTTTACAGCAGCAACAACGGCAACAGCAGGATCAGCATCATAATCATAATCATACTTCCAACCATCCTCCAGAAATACCTCAACAGTTGACATTTGTACCACCCAACCTGTATCGGACCTCTTTAAGGCTTGCCACGGAGCTTGACATTCATGCATGGTGGTCCGCGCTTGTTGACATACTTGCGGGCTCTTCATTTCATGCAATCCGTGTCTGTCTGTCTGTGCCCCAGGACATGAGCGATGCATGGTCTGGTGCATGGGGCTTGAAAGCAGTATGGTCGAAACCAGGTGTGACCCGACTATCACCAAAGCAGCAGCCACAGCAACAGCAACAACAACAGCAACAAAATTCTAATGATAAAGACTACTTTGTACATACCCACGACCTCCACCAATCCAAACACGACCGTCATAAAGTTTTCGAGCGACTCCAATCGCTAGATTACGAAGCAGAACCACTGCTCAACAATCCAAGTGCACACCGAATCATTCGTCGCAATACCACTATCATCGTATCGCGCGAATACCGCCCACGATCTCAACGTCCGCCATTGCATTTCCAGCATCATCACGATGACAGCCGGGAAATGTTCAAACGCGCCCTGTTGGAACACTCAGAAAAATGTACCACGACGCGACGCGTGACATGTCACTCGGCGCTTGCAGCAAGTACAAGTCCACGCCTGCAAGAAGGAGATTTGATGGATTTACACGGAACTGAAATATTGGCTGACTCACCGCGGATCGAGCATGACATCAACGCCACAAGCACACTAAGCAGTGGATACCAGGAGCCAACAGGTGTCTTGTACGATTATGACGAGTATGAACAACAACAACCATCGCCATGGTCGCAATCACCTGCGCCCTCGCCAGCCATGATGGACCCTGACGTGAACCCATTTTTCCAATCGACACCCGGAATCGACGACGAAGCATTTAACCCAGCATCTCCCGAGTCTTATCAAAGTTCACATATACCCTTCCCACCACCTGCATCCAACGTCCATTCCGTTATTCATATTCCGCTCGTACACAACTCTGCAGAACATCAACAAAACAACGATGTCGACGATGACGACGAGTTTTTTCATCAATCTCCAGCAACAACAACAACAACAGCAACATCAGCAGCAGAAGCAGCTTCTCCCGAATATATTGATCCTCATCCAACAAAAAACCCACCTGCACCCATCGCCATCCTGTCATTCCTGTCACCTGTTGTACCATACCCGTCCAATTTGGTCTCGAGTTTAAATGCATTAGCACCTTTTATTGCCAGTAGCTGCTCTAATGCTGTGGAACATAGCCGCCAAGTTTTGGTACGCCGCCCTTCTGCTCGACGACGGCCTTCGGGAAAGCAGCGGACAAGGAAGAAGTCGGGCGAGGATATGCCAAGAATGAATGGAACTTCTACTACTATTGCTAGTGCTCGTGCTGGTGGTAATCACGAGATAGTGGATTCAGCAACAACAACACCCAATGCCACATCGCCCTATCATTATCAATCGACACCACCATTTCTTGGCAGCATGTCGAATTTCACAAAGAATTCATTAGAAACAGTGACAGAACAACAAAAGCCAGAAGACGATCCCCAGCTTTGGTCGGCATCGTCCATGTCGTCGTACACGTCGGCCTTTTCTGTGCAACCTGCAGCATTGGAACTGCAGCAGCAGCAACTGCAACAACATCTGCAACAGCAACCGAAGCTACCGCCTGTGTCCGATAATGGTGGTGGTCAAATGCTTTCTCGGTCGTCATCAATATCGTCTGAACGTGCTTTGTCTCCATCCTCTATGGCCATTCTTGACGCATGGGACTCTTCAAAGAACAACATCAACAAGGTCGAGCCTTTGACGCCCCCGGCAGCTATGGGTGCAACAAAAGATGATATGAAATCTATCAACGACGAGGATTCTCCATTTGTTCATCAGCAACAAGAACGGCAACAGCAGCTACGGCAGAACGAACACGAGCAGTTTAAACAACAGCAGCAACAGCGAGCAAAAAACCGAGTTTTGACAAAAAGATTGCGACCGCGGAATCGGACAAGAGTCCGATGGCGGGCTTATGGCTCAGGAACTGGCACAGGCAGTATGGGACGGTCGGTGGAGAGGAGCAATGACAGCGGATTAAACAGAGATGGGATTGAACATTTGTTTGTGGCACCCAAATCAAGCCTTTTGCGTCTGGTGATTGATGGTATACCCATTCATGTCTTGTAAGTGTATATGTCAAATCAAAAGTGAAGATGCAACGACACCAACTTACTGTTGATATATGCGTTTGATTTAGTACATGTTCAACTACGACAGGGCAAGTGACATGGGTAAATCATCGAATATTGCAATACACGGGCCGTTCGCTGAGCGAACATTTGGGACCTGGATGGTTATCACATATGCACCCGGATGATCAAACGGTGTGCCACAAGGCCTGGGAGAATGCGTTTGAACAAGGGAACGGGTTTGCTGGCGAATATCGATTACGACGTTTCGACGGTGTTTATCGATTTTTCTTGTGGCGCATTGTACCATTGCGAGATTCGAAAGGACGGATCATCCACTGGTTTGGTAAGTGTTTGTGCTTGACATAAGGTTACTTTTGTTCCTGGGGCTTTTTTTAATCCTGTTATGTTTCGTTTTTCTGTTATATCATTTTAGGCACTTGGTAAGAATGTAGTAGTGGGAAAGAAGTTAACTTCTTGGATGTAACTAATGCATCTGCTGTTTTAGCACCGATGTCCATGACCAGCATATTGCAAAGGAAAGCAACTTGCGACAAATGGAAATTGAGAGCAACGAACGCAAATACCGGTTACTCGCCGAAGCGATTCCTCAAATTGTGTTTACCTTCTGTCCTGGCATAGGTGTGACGTATGCGAACGAGAAGTGGGAAAGCTACTCTGGCCTGGATTTTGATCGAACGAAAGGATTCGGCTTTATGTCACAGGTCCATCCAGATGATCGCCACAAACTACAGCTGCCGGAGCTATTACCGCACCAAACCGCCGGCATCATATGGCAAAGAGAGATTCGATTGTTGGGTCACGAGGGGAAGTATCGATGGTTCTTGGTGAAATCGATATCTGTTGATGAGCTGGACACTGGCGATGTGCGTTGGTTTGGTACATGGTAGGTTTCATCTTTGAACACATTTTTGACACTTTGGAATCGTATGTTTATCCTAAATTTCAAACGATAAACAATTAGTACGGATATCAACGATCACAAGTTGCTGGAACACAAGCTCAAAGAGGCGCATGACGCAGCACAGAAGTCGATGGAAAGCAAGACTCGATTCTTATCCAACATGTCGCATGGTAATACACTTGACGCAGAAAAGGGAAACTGTGTATCGGTGTGTGTATGTGGGAAGGACTAAAGGGAAAAGGTGATACTTTGCGATTTTACGAGTATTCTCGATATGGGTTTTGACATATCTGGCTAGAAATCCGAACGCCCCTGATCGGTATCACTGGAATGCTCAACTTTTTACTTGATACGGAGCTCACGCCTGAGCAACTGGATTATGCCCACACCATCCAGCAGTCTGCCGAGTCATTGCTTGTTGTTATTAACGATATTCTGGATCTGAGCAAGGTCGAGGCTGGTATGATGAAGCTGGAATGGGAGCCATTCAGTTTGGTGACCATGATTGAGGATGCAAACGAGCTTTTGTCGACACTGGCGATCCAAAAGGGGCTGGAACTGAGCTTCTGGGTTGATGAAGACGTGCCTGATGTGGTGGTCGGTGATCGTGTACGACTGCGTCAAGTCCTGTTGAATTTGATCGGAGTAAGTCCTTTAGTCTCTATTAAATGGAGTCTCTACTGAATGGGTCACAAAGAAGGAGACCGTTAGGAACTACTGTAACTTTATAATCGCTAATTTTGTGCTTACTATGACCGGCAGAATGCAATCAAATTTACTACGGAGGGCGAGATTTTCACCCAGTGCACAGTGCAAGACATCAGCGTCGAAAGCAACGAACTGACCTTGTTGTTTGAGGTCCAGGACACTGGATCTGGCTTTGATGCTGAAGGCGAAGCTGTCATGTTCAAGCCTTTCTCGCAAGTCGACAGTTCGGTAAGTCAGTAACTTGTTTCTGAGAGTGCGAAAAAGCGTATTATATTGACACGGTCGGCAATTTTCTGAAGAGTACTCGAAAGCATGGGGGAAGTGGACTTGGTCTCGTTATCTCTCGACAGCTTATTGAGCTGCACGGAGGTACGATGCAGTGCAAGAGCAAAAAGGGTGAAGGATCCACATTTTTCTTTACCGTCAAATTCTCTATCCCTCCACCGCAAACACGACCGAGACCACAGACGCCACAGAATGAAACGAACAGCAATCCATTCTTCAGAACCAGCGTCTGCAGTGTATCGCACGCCGCATCACCCGTACAGCCTACACCAGCAAGCAACACAGTATCATCCTCATCCTCGTCATCGGCTTCTTCCGTCTTTGTTCCTTCTCCACTTGCGCATTCGAAGAAGCATTCACAATCAGTCGACCTGCCAAGCTCAATGGAGTTGCTCCAAGACGCTTTATTAAACAAGGCTGCATCGATGCGATTGATGCCGCCACCTGCACGTAACGGCGGCGGCAGCGGCAGCGGCAGCGGCAGCATCAGCGTCAGTGGCCGGTCTCCATTGAGCAACGATAGCACAATAACAACAGCAACGGCAACAGTGCCGACCAAGGCAGCAGCAGCAGCAGCATCGGGCGAAAGACCAAGCAGCAGTCTACGACCACCAGTAGCAATACCCCATGTTGGCCTACTTTCACCAAATGCTGGTGTTATTTTGCCTCCGCGCACACCAAGCCGAGGATCACCGCTGCGTATTCTCGCCGTATCGGACTGGCACCATGCGCGCAACACCATTGTGAAGCACTTGCGCGCTATTTTGGGCGGTATCTCACAGCACCAAGACTATGAATTGAGCATCGCAACAAACCACATTGAGGCTGTTCAGCTACTGGCGTATCCGCAAGCAGCTGCGTACGATTACATTGTGATAAACTTGGCGCTCGATCAACAAGTACTGGATATTACCCGTGTCGTTACCGGCGCACTTCAGCATCAAGATGCCAACGTCCTGGTTATCACGACACCCATGCAGCGATCGCAAATCATGGATAGTGCCAAAGGGCGGGAAACTGAACTGTTGCCTGCTAATTGCAGCTTTGTGTTCAAACCTATTAAGCGAAGCAAATTGAATTGGTACTTTGGTCTGCGTCATCAGCAAGAAGATCCGGGCGATCAAGACCATCCGTCAGGAGCATCTACACCGTCAGCAAAGGCTGCAGCGGCTGCTGTAGCTGCCGGTGCACCGGAATCGTCGCGACAGCGAGTGGCAACGCAAAAGGAAGTGTTTCGACGCATGGAAGCAGATGTAGGCGGTAAAGGATTCCAGGTCATGCTTGTTGAAGGTGAGATAATAAGAGCAATTGCATACCAGTGCCATTGGAACCTTTGAAAAAGGGTTGCTGAACCTGGGATTGTTTTCTAGATAATTTGGTGAATCAAAAGGTGCTGACACGGTACTTGGAACGCGTTGGATTGAATGTCGAAGTGGCCAGCGATGGGGACGAGTGTGTCAAATTATTCCATAGTCGACCACCGGGCCACTTTTCCTTGATTCTCTGCGACCTGTTCATGCCTGTCAAAGGTAGATCGAAACCTGAGTGAATTGGCTTGTGAATTGGATAAGCATAGATAAACTAACTGATTTTCTATCCAAATAATGCAGATGGGTATGAGGCAACTCGCGAGATTCGAGAATGGGAAAAAGAGCATAAAGAGCAGCGACCAGTGCCCATTGTAGCACTGTCAGCGAATGTCATGAGCGATGTAGCACAAAAGTGTCTCGAGAATGGATTTTCCACGTACATTTCAAAACCCGTCAACTTTGCTACACTGAGCGATGTCATCCGCAAGCATTTGCTCCCAAAACATTGACACGCGCATTCCCATCCTATCCTTCGGTCTCATCTTTCTTCTTTAACCTCCGTCATCTCAACCAATTATAATAATAATAAACACGACAAAATTAGAAAAATAACAGTTTACATGCACGAAGTAATTCTCTTACATACGCATACTAATGCGTAATCTATGACTCATTAGCTCCGGCATTCATACTACTCTATCTGTACTATTGACGTACCTAAAAACTATTGTCGTACTGTTTCTATGAGGTTAAAAGAAGAAAATCTCTCAGTGGTGACGATGTGTTCTTCTCTTCTAGGATGTGTTTTCCACGCTAATAAGAAATTGATGACGGGGATCATTTCAGAAAATCTACATGGCGGCGAGTATATTCGAAATTAGATGGGGACCCTGTCTCGGCTGAGAGCAATCTGATTCGTCCGTTGTAGCCGGGTATATCAGGCTTGGTTTCGCGGAGAGGAGAAAAAAAAATGGCTTTCCTCCCAATACACACGTATCGCTACCTAGCACCTACAAGCACATTTAAAAATGTCTTCGATCCTTTCTAGCGATGGTATATCCGTCGTTCTTGGCGCCCAATGGGGTGACGAAGGCAAAGGAAAACTCTCTGACATTCTCTGTGGTGAAGCCGACGTCTGCGCCCGTTGCCAGGTAAAAATTGTGCATTTCCATTGTCAAAGAGGAAAGGCCTGTGGCTTGTATGACTCACACCAAAAACCACGGTTGCAAATAACATATACCATATAGGGTGGTAACAATGCCGGCCATACCATTGTTGTCAACGATGTCAAGTACGACTTTCATATTCTTCCTTCGGGTGTGTATACAGTCGTTTCTCCCGTTTTTGTGTCAAATAAAGTACGGAATACTGATAAAATCGTGTAGGTCTTATCAACCCTAGCTGCACTGCCTTGATTGGCGCTGGTGTGGTTGTTCACTTGCCTTCGTTCTTTGACGAACTCGAGAAGCTCCAGTCTAAGGGTAAATATTTGCGTTTGCTGCTGTTATATTGAAAAAAAAATAAGAAAGTCGGTATGGCTGATACGTGCGGATTAGGCTTGGACTGTGATGGCCGACTTTTGATTTCGGACCGTGCTCACCTTGTCTTTGACGTCCACCAAACCATCGATGGTCTGAAGGAACTCGAATTGGGCCGTGGCAGCATTGGCACCACCAAGAAGGGCATTGGACCGGCTTATTCCTCCAAGGCCTCCCGCTCGGGTCTTCGCGTGCACCATCTGTACAACTTTGACGAATTCGCTGCCAAGTTCCGTGTCCTTGTTGAAAACAAGCGCAAGCGGTATGGCAATTTCGAATATGACGTCGAAGGCGAGCTGGCCCGCTACCGCGAACTTGCTGAACGCTTGCGCCCTCATGTCGTTGACCACGTTTCGTATTTGCACGAGCAGATGCAAGCTGGTAAAAAGATTCTGGTCGAAGGTGCTAACGCCCTCATGTTGGACATTGATTTCGGTACCTACCCCTACGTTACCTCGTCCAACACTGCCGTCGGTGGTGTTTGCACTGGTTTGGGCGTCCCACCTACCAAGATCAAGAAGGCCATTGGTGTCGTTAAGGCATACACTACTCGTGTCGGTGGCGGTCCTTTCCCTACTGAACAGCTCAACGATGTTGGCGAATACTTGCAGCGCGTTGGTTTCGAGTTTGGTGTCACTACTGGACGTAAGCGTCGTTGTGGCTGGCTCGATATGGTCGTTGTCAAGTACTCGACCATGATCAACGGTTACACCAGCTTGAACATTACCAAGCTGGATATCTTGGATCAGTTGCCTACTATCAAAATCGCTACCGCCTATCATTTGGATGGTAAGCCTTTGAGCTCGTTCCCTGCAGATTTGTCCGTCCTGGAGCGCATCGAAGTCCAGTACGTCGAGGTGCCTGGCTGGCAAAAGGATATCTCTCGTTGCCGAACTTGGGAAGAATTGCCTGAAAATGCACAGAAATACGTCGAACTTATCGAAAAGGAATCTGGTGTTCCTGGTATGTTTAATCTTCGGCTGCGTTAGATCGTGCTTTCTTGAGTTAGTGACAGACATTAAACTGGCCAATTTTTTTTATTTAGTCGAATGGATCGGTGTCGGTGCAAGCCGTGATGCTATGATCAGAAAGCCTCTTCCTCAGTAAAGCTTTTTTCGCATAGAAAAGATATACCAACGGATGTATATTTTGGAATTATTTGTGTACAAAAGAAATAAAAACATAAACCTTTTCGTTGCCATAAGAGCTGTGTTTTGTGCATTAAATAACAGGGTTTACTAGCGGTCCCTACCTCGCTTCGCTCAATGTCATTCAACGGGAACGCGTCGCAAGAGGGTCCCGCCTTGACCCCTATGTTGGAGGGCAAGCCCCCAAACCCCCGGGTAGGGGTAGCGTTTATAGCTATACCTGCGTGGCAAAATCAGTAGAATTCCTGCCGTATATGTCGATAGACATTGCTACCAGAGATACAGCTGCCATAAAAACTTTTCTAATTATAAAACCTACCCATGGAAAGCATTTCAAAGGCTGCAAGTCAGTTAACTTATCGCACTTCTAAAGGCTAGCAATCTTACCCGGCGAACACTCATCAATGTAAAATTTGGTGTTAAGACGATGATTGGTATACTTGGCCAATAACAGGATGTAATTCGCTTCCGGTAGACACAACTTTATTTTTCCACTACATAAACAAGCCTAAACATAGTGCACTAACAACATACTGTAAACATTACAGGAATTGAAAGAATTGTATATGCCCTCAATAACGCGTGAAACCATAGCTAGAACAAAAATATATGAGAATACATAGTATGTACTTCTAGTGCTTTTTTCTGGGAGGTGAAAGGATTATGTATCCTACTAAACAATCAGGTACAGCAGTACCTTTCCCATAGGACATGGTCTTGCCAGCTTTATAGATGATGATTGCTTTCAATTAACACATACAGAACTGACACTGCATTTAGGCTCGGTTGTGTAGCAGATAAAAAGGCGGGGGAAGACACACTTTCCTCATTCAAGCTAGGACTGCTTAGAGGTACTATGCTGTACAGGCATATTCTATTTCAATACTCAAAACAGACAAGATATGAGAAGCATCCTGTCAGTGGTTGTATCGTATCTAGTTTCTATATACAGCGCAAATGATCAGTGGGTCCGATCAATGACGTAACCACTCCTTTCACCGCGTATCACAAACAAGTTTGTACTAAGGATACCAATCGTTAAAACAAATAGATCCACCATTGATGATGGTGCGTTTGCCATCCATCGTTCCTTGTTGTCCGAGTACTGGTGCAGCATGTCTGACTTGATCGTACACTTGTTGATCTTGTGTAACTTTAGTACGACTTTGCAATGCAATGAATTCGATGCATTGACATAAATCAGTTATTTAATTTCTTGCTTCTTCTCTCATCATCTGGTCTTCTACCTTCCGGTTTCCTTCTTTTCTTGTTTAACCCTTGCCGAAAGCACCTAACACACTTTTTTCTGATCTTTCTGCAATCGTCTTGTATTACTCTCGTCTATGTTTTTTCTTGTCGTGTTCCTGCGCGTACCTTACATAAACAATGAACAACTCATCATCATTCTGACTAGCAAAAACATTCATCTCAGGACTATTAAATTATCTAGAAACGTAAGAAGGTGATAAAAAATAAAAACCAACGATCAATTTGGTTTTGAGAGTTGGAATGATAAGGTGTTGGTGAGTTAAGATTTGAGAGTTATAAGTGCTGATGACCACTTTTTTTAGTAATCAATTGTAGAAACAGCATGTGTAACAGAATCTCCTTCTATTTGTGTGATATGAGTTCGGTATCAACAGACACGGTTCAATGCCATTCGTAGGTCATGATAAGGGTTGGCAATTATTACCCATATGTATTATATACGACACATCAATTTGCAAGTCCAGATGAATTTTTCTCATCGGGATGCTAGCCAGGATGACTTTTCTTGAATGCACCCTCATCACTTAGCAGTATAGAAATCATATATCATATAGATGCATATTTATTTCCGGTCACATTTTTCGTCTAAACACTACATTCTGATTCTATCCACCTGCTGTGCGCTGCATGGACATATGAATTGTTACCTCGGTTAGGAATGGCCCAACTTTGCCGCAGACCGCCACTGCTTAAATAACAAGTGTTACCTATCGTTACTCAAAATACAGCACAATGTCATCCTCTTTCTATGATAAACTGATAAGAGAGCGGCGATATAAGACAAGTGTACAAACCGTCAAAAGAAGAAGAGAAACACTGTAACTTTGTGCCAGCATTATCTCCATATAATACTAGAGCAGTTTTATTTTTTCCCTTATACAACGAACTTATCCGTCTTATACATTTCTATCTACCAAATGCGCCAGTTCTTCTCTATAATTTCGTCGACTCTGTAATTGCTGAATCCCAGATAATCCTATTTGCATTGAGCGCCCACCAACCGGTGGCAGGATAGCTTCATCAAGATCTGGTATTCTGTCGTCGCGTGCCGTTTGCGCTCCACTGAATTGGCGTGTAAGATGGGATGGTGCGTAATCTCTGCTGGTTCTCCAATGTTGCAAATGTCCATCATCATCATCATTATCATTATTTTTGTTACAGCTCGACTTCTTGTGGATGACGCTCGTTCGACTCATGTTTGTATCTTTTTCTTCGTTATTGCTGACTGCAGAGTGAAGGTTTGAGAATATTTCATCATTGATATAATATGCCTTCAGCATCAGCTCCATTAGCTGAATACGCTTTTGGAGGTCTTCCAGCTGCTTTTTGACATCTTGATTTTCTTGTTGCAGGGTAGTAGTCGTAGTACTACCTGAATATACATTATCGTCGTTATTACTCTTGCTGTTACTACTATCAAAGCCCTGTAATGATGATGATGGTGATGATGATGTCGCTGCTGCTGTTGTTAATTGCGTTTTTACTCCATGGACGTCAAGTATCTCTTCAGATAATAGTTTAGAGCGGACAGGATTGATAAACGGAATGGCCAGCGTCAGGAACCCAAAGTGGTTCCGTAATCTAATAAGTAGCGATTCGCGTGCTGGCCCATCGACCAGCGATGAACAACACCCCAGGGTGAGCTTGGTCGTACGCCAAAAAGGAAAGTATCCAAGGCCAACAATAGCGTCAACAAACCACCTGCTGACCCTAACGCGCTCAGGACCGTGTATATTTTTTGCTCTCGCATGGTAATCAAAGCGTAATCACTTGGATAAACGTCCAAGACATTTTTAGCATAGCTTTCCACCCGGAGCGTGGTTGCTATACCGGCGCGATATGCGTCGTAATTTCGGGGACTTCGTTAAAACTAGGGGCAAATCCGATATTGTTCCAGCCTCTGTCTTTAAGGCAGAGGTGCGTTTGCAGCTGGTAGGTCATGGATGAGTAGGCACCGAGGTCGAGGGTGTATGTATTTGCTGTCTGGAGATTGTTGCGTTCTTGATCAAGCCAAACTTGGATATCCGATTCGGTAATTTGCTGTGTAGTGTCTCCGAAATAGTACGCGAGATTTGGATTTCTTTTCCGAGTGTACAATGAGACATGGATACGGGAAGTCGGCAGGATAGTTGTTCCGTTGTTGGTCGTATCGTCCTTCGTTGCGACACCGTAGAATAAGAATTGTATGCGGTACCCGTTGTCGTTAAAGGAGCTGGTGCTAATTGCTGATGATTGCTGCTGTCGTTTCTTGGGATCACCGAGCTGAAATTCATCGGGGGGCAGTGAATAAGTAGCAACCTGTAATAGTGGGCTGCCCATCAATGAAGAATGGTCGATGCTTCGTCATGTTGAGCTGACGAAAATATCCAGATGTGGCACAGTCTGTGATTGACCCCGTGTCCGTTTGACAACCAATGGTGCCAGCCTTCCATCCGTCGAAACAGAAGCGTATATCTTTATTTTACAAAAATTGCTATTAACGTTACAAACAAGGAAGCCAGCGGGACATGTTCTTTGGTGTATAAAAAATCGGCTTCAACGTACCTGGTACTTGAACCTTTGCAACCGGGGAGGACAGAGTAATAGTAGATATGGGACTGTTTACAACTTGAATAATCAAAAAGGCAAGGAAGGCGCCAAACAATCCGGCGAGTGTAGCTTTGGAGCATAAGTGGGAAGCTTCGGTCCACCATGGCTCACCCGTTATAACGCGTTGTTTAGTATATTGTCTGTCGATAGTTTCATCGCTCTCAATAGCAGACTATCATAGCAATACTATTCGTTCGTTTCATGTATACCATTTTGCTGACTCTTATACTTTACCTTGGATTCCAGATATAATATTTGAAAAGATCACTGCCATATCGCCATAAGATGTACCCTAAAACAGATGCAGCAATAGTCGATGCGACGACAATACCGCCTCGCTGCCAAGTCCACCGGTATCTGCCGACATGCGTAGATTGGCCAATGGCATAGTTACGTTTTCTATCCATGCTAACGTTTTTTCATTATCATTCGTTGTGGTAGGTAAAGATCCTCCGATATTCAACATGTAGACGTCATTGTGGAAAAAAGTCTCGGTTCTCCCTATGATATGCGTCATTCATGGTGATGCACATTAAAGGTTTCTTTTAAGACTTTTATATAGCCACAACATTTCCTTTATGCAAATCACATGCCGTTGGCTATAACGAAGTATTGGCCTTTCAAAAGCGCTGCATTTGCCTCATATCGGGCTGTTGGCGGAATACCAAATACAACATTGCCGACGGGTTGCCATGCCCATGTTGTGGTGTCTAAGATTGCAAGGTTTGCCAAAGGGTTGTAAAAGTTCCCAGAAGAGTCCCGAACACCTAGAATATGTGAGGATGTATATATAATTAATACATAGTGTCTTTGTCTTTTTTTCTCTTTCTTTTTTTTGCGTACAGAGAAAAGCTTGTTTAAATTACCTCCAAAGATGTATATCGTTGAATTATCCGGACCTAAATTGATTTTTAAAGCAATATTAATATCGAATGCTATTATCCCTAAAAAACAATGTTACTTCTTCAATAGCAACTAACCGAGGATGGCACTGGCTCTTTCTCTCCGCCACGGAGCGTTATCACCATTAAGTTCCTGTTGCATCCACTTATTAGTAGTGATACCGTATACAAGTGAAGAGTTGCACAGCTCGGTAAGATTTGGTGGATGGTCTGTCCGGCCATGATAACCCATGGTTCCCATGATAAAAAGTATCTTGTTATCACTATAAAGTTGTTTCAATTGAAAAATGACCAATAGGGTGCAAAATATTACTCAACTTCAGTTTCTTTCCATGCCAATGAAAAGTGGCACTTACGGGATGGCAATCGCTGTGTGTCCGATCATATAATTTGGGAGCAGCGACTGCGAAAGATCAACAAACTGGCCCGTGTTAGGATCGTAGCTCCAAATATCTGCCATGATGAAAGAGCCGGCACCATTCATTGCGCTGACCAAATTGTAACCGCCGGCTATATATACTTTGCCGTCCGCTCCAAGCGTTGCTGTATACTCTTTACGGTTTACTGGAAATGTGACGTTGTTGTATGGAAGTGCTGGTGCCGTTCGCCATACTCGCTGGTCAAATCGATAGTCGTACACCAATAGTTTGCCCGAATACAGGGTAGCATTATCAGTGTAGCTGCCAAACATGAGTAATCGGTTGTTGTCCGGAAGCATCACTGCTTGACTATAAGCCATAGGCACTGCGATCGTTTGCGGCACGTCCGAGTAAACCAAACTGCCATCTTGGTCGTTGATGGCAATTGATGTAAACTGTGTTGACAACGCAGCGCGAGAAACGATTCCACCATAAATGTACATCATATCGTTGCGTATAAAGGTGGCACCAGCTGATCGCCCAGGAAGCAAATTAATTTGTTCGTCTGTCATATTGTATGCTGCTAAAGCAGTTAAAGGTCCAAGACCTCCTGTTGCTATTAGTAAAGGTAAATTTACAAGATATACCGCCATTTTTCCAAAGGACGACCATGAAGAGGCTCTGCTCATCGTCATTATCCACTTGTTTAACAAACAGGTTAAATAAAGGTATAGGAGCGATTACTTCAAAAAAGACTTTTAAAAAGGTTGTTTATATAGATGGTTTTCGGTTATTAGCTCGTGCTACGTACCTCAAATTCTGATCCATTTTAGTTTATTGCTCAAAAGTAAATGACGCCACAGGTTACCGGTGATCCTTGCGTATGAACGCGCAAAAACATATATGGTTACTTTAACTGATGCATGCTGATATGTGCCAAATGTATGGCTCGCATTACTGACAGTGACCACCAAAATTGGCAATGAGCACGACTTTATCTTTTTCCTCGTATCTCGTCCTGTAGGACAATGAATGGGTGATTATTTCTATTTTGTTGGATTGCTGTAGCGTGGCTATAAACTGCTTAGTTTAAGAAAAGTGGCCATTGGACATAGCACACAATACACAATATTTATATTGTACATGTTGTCTCTCATAAGCTTTTGGAAAACAAGCTTCTTTATCTCTTAGGTGACACCAGCGCTCATAATACATGTGAGCTGAAATTTTCAGATTTTGGCTTGTCCGGCTGAAATGCCTGCTCGTGTAACACTTCCTCGACACAAAGTCACACTCTTTTCGGGCCTTTTGTTGCCTTGCTTTGTCCCGCTCGCTTTTTTTTTCTTGCAGAATAACAACGGCCATGTCATTCAGCAACGCGGTCAGAACAAGTGCCTCAGCAGCCTTGCGCAAAGTAGGAATCAAGTCTTGCTAGTTCACTACTTTTAAGTCTTTTTGATATTGCTTGTAGCTAAAACAATTAGCAACTCATTTACCAGCCTATCAATCCGTCACGGCCAGTTCAACAGTGTCTCTCTCAATGCCACGCTAGAGTGGCCCTTACACGTCTGACGCCTGCTGCCATGGTACATTTATAGAGCTAGTCGCGATCTGTTAGACTGAAAAAGAAAAGAAGTATTAGCTCTAATATCATAATTAAAAATCATGGAATATCTAGTCAGTGCGCTGGCAAACTACTGTTCAGTCGGAACAACCTGCAGAAAAGAAAAGATATTCGGACGTAACAAAGAAGGTGGTGTACGGAATGGCACGGCTATTGGGCTACTACTCAACTGGTTCAACAGCGATTCGTGCTAGTCATGACTTATATCGCACCTGTGCCGAACACGCTGAAAAGAACAAGGACTTTTTTATTGAAGGTAAGCCTCATGTGCATTGTGGAAAAGGTTAGTTTATATCTTACCGCGTGTTTGTATACTCACAAAGAGATTATCTGGCGTATGTAGCATGCAACCTTCCCGATAACTTCCAATCATGGTTTTCAGTAACTCAATTACACGTATGGATGCTGATGGTGCGTCTACGAGAGGAAAAAAATGGCAAGCTCTATATCCAGGAGCTAGTCAATCGGCTGTTCGATGATGCCGAACACAAGATGCGCTCACACGGTGTAAGTAATGAACTATGGATAACTTGTAGAAAACGGTATATGTTAGCATCATGGGAAGCTAAATATACACCAACTATGAATGATAGATCACACAACAACGTATGATCAACAGTTACATTAAAGACCTTCTGGCTCAATTCCACGGCGGTGTTGTTGCCTATGATGAAGGCATGTGCAAGGATGATCCAGTATTGGCAGCGGCATTGTGGAGGTAAGAAGTATATGAGACTCTGAAAAGCATTTCAAAGAAAGAGACTCTTATCATTGGTTTTTTTCTAGAAACCTTTTCGCACCCACATCCAATAATGCTGCACATCTCGCATACGTTGTACAATATATCCGACAAGAACTTAAGGCACTGGATGAGTTTGATGGTGAAAAGCTCAATGCAGGCATTGTGCAGTTTGGCAAACCACAAGCATCGATATAGGAATAGTTGGTCATTTACAATTCTATTCCTTTTTCCCCCATCCCATATCTACTACCACCACAATAGAAGCATGAATCGCATCAGTTGCAATAAATGAAGTGTCAACAGGACAATTATGTATGTATTGGGTGTCGTTGCAGCGTGCGGACTGTCCTATTTTGACAAGTAAAAAATTTTAAACCTCTGGACAAATACACTACGAATTAGTGTTTGGTCTTAAACACTTCAAATCCCACAATAGATTAAAGATCGATAGCATAACATGTTAGGATTAGAACAACCATATTGATTCCAAGACTTTATTGTGGCAGAGCAAAAAACTAGGGATGAATTTAGTTCTTGTCCTTCTTGAAGGTACCCATGAACTTGGTCTTCTCGGCGGGGGTCTGGAAGCGACCGTGACCGAACTTGGACGAAGTATCGATGAACTTGAGGGTGACCTTCTCCAAAGCAGAGCGCTTGGTGTGGACGGTGAGGGACTTGCGAAGAGTCAAGACACGCTTCTTGGCACCAGCAGTGCAGCCCTTGACCATGACGAAGTCTTCGTTGACAACACCATAGTGAGGGAAGCCACCCATGGGGGTGATCTGCTTCTCGGTAAGATCGTACTCGGTGGCACCGGACTTGGCATCGGCACCGTTTGCGATACGGTAGATCTTCTTGTTCATCTCAGTACGGCGATGGTAACCGCGCTGACCAGCACGGGGAACGGAGTACATGACACGGGCAGGATGCCAGGCACCAATACAGGCAACCTTGCGGAGACCACGATGAGTCTTGCGAGGAAGCTTCTTGGTACCCCAACGGTGGGTGACGCCTTCGAAACCGTGACCCTTGGTGGTACCGATGATGTCAATCATCTCATCCTGTTCAAAGATGGAACCAACGGTGAATTCCTTTTCGAAGTGCTCGCGGGCATAGTCGACCTTCTGGGCAATCGAGCCACCGTTGAGCTGAATTTCCATGAGGTGAGCCTTCTTCTGACCGATGCGGGCCTTGGAGATTTGAGTGTGAGCAATGACACGAACAACCGAGCAGTACTTCTTGATGCGCTCGAGCTCACGGGTAATGTCCTTGGCACCATCAGCGTACTTCTTGGCATACTTGGTGTAAGCCTTCTTCTTGGAGCGGTACCAGTTCTTGTAGAAGCGACGCTTGGCCTCATCAGACAAGTGCTCAGCCCAGACAGTGGTCAACGAACGGAGACCACGGGGAGTCTCGACGTAACCAACAACACCAACGATGACCATAGGGGGAGCTTCGATGACGGTGACGGCTTCGACAATTTCCTTCTTGTTCATCTCTGTAGTAATAATTCACATATTTTTATACATATTCGTCAGTGATTGAACGATCATAAAAAACGCAGCCGACAAAAAAAAATTAAAAGCCACAATTAAAACTTACTGGAACCAGGGCGGTCCAAGTCGCGAACAATGTGGGTCATGCCAGCCTTGTAGCCCATGAAGGCCGTCAAGTGGACGGGCTTCTTGGCGTCATCCTTAGGGTAGGCCTTTACACGACCGCGGTGCGAGCGGGTACGCTTACGAGGGGAGAAACCCAAATGACCGTGACGGGGAGCTATACGATTAGATCATTAAAAATTAGGATCAATTGGCATTTGAAATTCGCGTCCGGTCTACATGGAATTTTTCAAATCTCAATTGTACATACCTTCGTACTTGCGGTGGGACTATAGCGATGATGGATTCAAAGGGATTATTGTTAGATGCAACGTTACATTGAATGGATGCACTATTACGACAGATGGATTCAATTAACTTACCATCCCTAACTAGTTGGATGAGTGAGAAGAGAAAGATCAATGGTTTGCGTGGACCGACCAAGAAGTTAACACCAAAATTCGAAATTCAAATTCCGGTCCAGAATCTGTGGCTGGTTGTTGCTTCCACAATCATGCCTGATTGATCTGTTCTCTCACCTCATGTGCAACAGCAAAATCAACGAGGAAATATGATAGCTACGATGATATCAATCATACTTCCAATCCATATTCCCGAATTCTCGAAAATTAACCATGGCAACTAGTTTAATGACGCTTCTAGGCAGCAGAAACGTCGTTGGACAGCAACCGAGAGCTGTGCTTTTGATTTGAACGATCGCTCGTTACTTCGATCCTTCTTCAATGTTCAAACAATAGGTATCAGACAGGTCACTCTTAATAAAGAATATCCCAGAATCGTGTATGCTTTTTGAGACTTAAAGCTGGATGCATTCTCGCGAAGACTTATTTTCTGAAAATGTGAACTCAGCCAACAAAGGGAAAAAAGCTCCTGGTTCCAACCACTGACTTATAACCTCGCCACACAACACACGACAACAAATGACCAAACTACCATTTGGAATGAAAGCACCGTCAAAAGGAACAGTCATTTTCTGCTCGGTTCTTTCAGCTATCTCTGGCACAGTCTATGCCAGCTCAGAGTCTACAAAGAAAGCTCGACAGGCCCATTGTGACAAGGTGTCATTTCTCGCTGACCGACCATGTGGAGTTCACGTAAATATACATATGAAACGACCATGACAGAGGACCATTTATGAAATTAGCGACACAAAGAAATAACCTTAGGTACTACTTCTTTGTATTTAGGAAATGCCACGTAAAGTATGCGTATATTTAATGCCTCCACCAGGCGACAGTATCGAAAAAAGTCGAGTATGGTTCCGCGAGTATATCAAGGTAAGATGGAAATAAAAAATAACGGTGTCGTGGGTTGTCACACAAATAAAGAAAATAATGACAGCCGTTCTGATCATATCTACAATAGCCGATCCTGGTTGCTGGTGCAGTGGATTATGATGTAAAGGAAGGCAAGGACGCAGGAGCCGTCGAATCCGCAGTATGCGAAGAAATCAAGCGAATGCGCCGTGAAGAAGCTGCTGCCGCTGCTGCCACTACCGATCCATCAGTACCGGCTATCGATGCTCCCTTGCAAAGCGAAGACCCACACAAGAGTAATCCGTTTGCACCATTGATGAAAGATGTACAGAAAAAGATTCAAGAACAAAACCATTATGACGGTGTGATTGCTATCGGACGACTGGCGTGGCGCGAGGTTTTGAATGGTGTAGCCAAGGGCTGCCACGCTGACCCCTTTGAAAAGCCAAAGGAAGAGCAGCAGAAGGAAGAGCAAAAAGAAGAATCAACTGGAGAACTAGATCAACAGCAGCAGCAGCAACAACAATTTGAAGGAGAGAGCAACGTGCCTATTGAGGAACCATCAAAGCAGGAAGAGGTTATGATGACGGATTTGGTCGAAGAAAATCCTGTACAAAAGGTCGATCACTTCTCCATACCTGCCAACATGTCTCCTATCATTTATGTCCCTCACGAAAACATCATTGGCTGGACCAACATCCCATACCGTCTGTTCCGCTGGGTCACGGACTATACTCGCATGGAAGACATCGGTCAGTACGCTGTGGATGTTATCCTCAAGCAAACCCGAGCATTGCAGGTCGAAGATATTGACGTCGGTCAGCAAGAAAAGAAGTATTGGATTGGCGAAGAGGCTGAAGAAGCAGTCAACAACGACACACCTATTACGCTAGAGGATAACGTTCGTAGCGCTTTATCTACATACACCAAAAGCGATTCGCAATAATCAAAGAAAAAAACCAACAACAACTCCTGTAAACTATAATTTGTATGCATGCATGTACGAGTTTCGAAAAGTAGACTAAACAATAAAATACACACCTTTACCAGCACAATCAATGTCTGAAAAAAAATATGTGGCGGAGTTCACGATTGTACATCTGGCGAGCTTGCCTGGCTTTCTCGTCTTCTTTTAAAAACACACTGCTGAAATGGCTCGTGGTGCTCAAAAGGAACAGGCTAGGTAAATGTCCAGTAAGAGATCGTTAATGACATATGTGCAGGTACTAATTATGCTCTTTGTAATGAACAGACAAAAGGCTCAAAAGGAAGCTGCCAAACGCGGAAAGCCCAAGTCGCAGCTCACTGCCCGTGCAGCCGGCCTACAGGTACACACGAATAGATACTTGATTCACTGATCGTCCAGACAGTCTGTACTCATTCAAAACGCAACAACAAATTTCAAGGTGAAATGTCCCAAGTGCTTCACTAATATGCCAAACTACAAGCTACTTGTCCATCACATGGAGGTAGGGACCACCTGTTTTTGACGCTTTGTTTCAACAGCCCCAGTTTTACAAGCCGCAGCTCTTCTTAAGCTGATGCTTTATACTACTTTAGGCGAAACATCCCAAGGACAATATCCCACCGGAAAGCGACTTTGCCTCATAACAGAAATGAAAAGAATACCTCATATTTTGATCACCTGACCTTCTGCTTGTGTTATTAAGCGCTTATTTGCTATATTTTGTTTATGTTTATAATCCTCCCCGTCCCGGTCAATTAACTCGCTAACCCTCTTCAATATGTTTTTTGCGCTGTGTTAATTGACTTTCTTTTTGTAGCTGTTGGTGTTGTTGGAGGTGATGGATGACTGTTGTTGTAAGGTATTTTCAATGGTCAAATCGGCTGGGACGAGCCTTCTGGTTCCTGCTGATTTCTGGTGGATTTCTGTGGTAAGGGTTTCTTCACGGAATAAGGGGACTGGGTGGCCATCCGTCGATGTACATCGTCAAATTGCAACAATGGGTGTTTACTACTATCAACATCAGCAAATTTACGTACAGGCTGTTTTCATTGGCTTTTGGACATCTTTTCTTATAAATGTAACCAAGAGGAAGTCTCTGCTGCTTGGGAAAACAATATGTTGATGTGACACATGCATTAGTTTAAATAGATAAAAACAAAATTGAAATACATGAGTGTACATAAAATCATTGATCAAGAATAAAACCTGCAAGTTTCAATATTCGAATGTCGGCTGATCATGTCCATATGGGTGGATGGTCCCATTTGAATGGATACTTATCTAACCGGGATACGGGAGCTAGAAGGCGCATACGACCAATAGGTTCTTCGAATCCAACGAAATATTTGCTGTCATAGCTCATATGTTCAGGGCGCTTGATATGCCACGCTTTGACCACCTTATCATATGCCACTGGTGCTCAGCAGCACATTGAAGTCAGACTTCATTTTCATTTTTTAGTATGGGCTGATGTTGTATAGCAGCATCGTGAAAGAAAAGTACTCGCGAAGTGATCCGTGGGAGGGGAGAAAGATGTCATGGTTATTCAGGAACACAAAAAAAGAAACGTAAGGAACGAGATATTGCTGCTAAAAGCTTTTCACGTTTGTTCTTTTCTGTTTTGTCCTTATATTGCATATGGCAAACATTCCAATTAGCGATGCAGTCGCCAACTTCACGCTGATGACGTACACAATAAACACCAATCTATACGTAAATAGTAAAGGCAAATGCAGCAGAAAGAAAAGGAGCAACATATATATATGTACTTAAGGAGCAGAAGAAGAGAAACACGTCAACAGCTGTATTGGCTTGCTGGTTCAAGAGTCTTAAATTCCATTCATTGGCAGGGACATGATCTTTGGCATCAACCCAAATAAATACCATACGAATACGAACCAGCGAAAATATGATATTACACATGCCCAACGAACGAAGCAACAGCGAAATAAAAATTGGTAGTGATAACAACTATTTGCGCTATGTTGCCCAGTATTATTACTGTAATAGTATTCATTATGTATCAATCAGCCTTATACACAAAAGGGAAAAGGGAAATCATCAAATTTTTCGACCGCTTCGTTCAGGAAGGTTGCTCCTTTTTTGAAGAAAACACTAAATAGGCGACTAGCGCTTTTCAGGGCTCCGCCGAGTTTACCATACTGTTTTTGAGTTTCGGCGCGAATGGTCAGGGACTACATTCTGCAATGGCGTAAAGCAAGGAAGCCTGGTTATATATCTGCTGATATATCTATCTCCACACACTGACCGCTTGTTAATTGTACTACTTGCAGTCGGTGAACCTAATCAACTGTATGTTTTGCGTTGTGAATAACATGAAGAAAAACCTTGATTAAAAGTCTGTAAAGGAAGTGGAAACGCCTCTTCCTTTCTAACGAGAGTACCCCAGGACTTATATAGCTCAAACGCCGGGAGCACCATATTAGGCGATCGCAATCTGGGGAATAATCAGAGAGCAGAAATTATAGTCGCGACCATCGGCTGCTGCCCTTTATTAAGCATTCAGTTCTGTTTTACAGTTTGAGAGAACAGACAACTTTGTGTACAATATTTGAATAAAGAAGAGTTCATTCAATAACTTAGGTAATATGTTTCGTATAGTAAATGTAGAACTCTTGACCATTATCTAATTGCAATATTTCAGAAACTATCAACGAGGAGTATTGTTCATCCAAGCCCCAAGAAGTATAGAAAGGAGGCAGTTTTAAAGAGAACGCAGTGGAAAGTCCAGCAGGAGAACCAAACCTCGTAGGATTGAAAGGTCCTAATAGAATGACACATCACCAGCCCTTGTCATCTAGTTTGACAGCGTTATTACCCAATCGCAATAACAAAGTGTCCGTCCGATTTGCTGGCTCCGGTCGTCTCCGCAAAAGGCACTTGCCACACCTCCGCCACCGTATACCTATAATAAAGTGATATGGATTGGGTCGAGTGAACCTTCAACAGAATATTCGTAGGTCGAACAGAAACGACTATCACTTGTAGATATCTGGTCCGCCAGGGCAAATGATGCGAGTCCTTGGCAATTTAGTAGTTACTGCTTCCCAGATCGCACACGAGCACTCATCCGTCGTTCTTAATCATCGTTGGCATTCTGTATTTCTTCCTTGTCAATTCTGATTGCGTTGTTCAATCGCACTTTTTTTCTCTTGCAGTTCGTGTACTCATTGACTTCTTGTACCTGTATTTAAAGCGAGGTTGGGCGCGTGCACTGACACTTCTTCCCAAAACAAGCGGCGACAGTATCGGAGGGCACATCGGCATGGTGAAACATATATATAGCGTATCATAGGGTGATACATGCCGATCACTGCTGCCAACATATTTGACTTTTTGACGACGACTATCACTTACACATCTCCTTCCTCTTCCCTTTGCTTTTGTGCCAAGTTGTGTCATATGATATAAGCGGTCCATAAAATGAGCCAACCAGAGCCTCACAAATGAGAGCCTATCAAAATGATGGATTTCATTGAAGACCCGAGCGTGACGGCAGAAAATTGTCTGGATAAGAATACCAAAAACCCCCCACCCCCTCCCATTTTTTTCTTCTTCAGTTCCTTTTACACAAACTTTATGATCCGCAAAGTGTTGTGTGAATCCTTGACTTGGAAAGCTATTAGCCAGGTTGAGGTGGATATATTCTACCCGAAAGATGCTTCAATGGTAGCAAGGTTGTTGGAAGCATGCCCTAGGGCTGCATCAACGTAGTACAACAACCTTGAAGTATCTTTGTGCTTAGTTGACGTTGTGGGCACACACGGCACGGGCGCCACTAGTGATTGGCGAAGGTCTCTCATTGCGTAGCGACCATTCACTACCTGCGTCTTCGATCAGGTTTTGTTGTCTTCCTGGAAAAAAGAGACAGCAGGAGTTTTTCCCCTCTTTTTCTATTGGAACTTCCTAGAAAAGAGGGTTTCTCTTTAAAATACAAATAAGAAAATGACAAAAAAGATAACAATCAACAAGAGAAGCTTTCTATGTTTGATTATTATTATAACGGAAAGTTAATCTTTCGTTGGGTGATGCCATCCCAATTCACAAAGAAAGATCTCTCGCGTACTGATCGACCTTGTGAAGTACTTTTGTACTTTGTTTGTGAATGTACTAAATGAGATTTAGGATCTTTTTCAAGTGCATATAAAGCGGTGGCAACTCTTTGACACCGTGCTCTCTACGCACGGACCCTGCTATTGTTCTTAAAAGAAAGAAACGAGGTTGCGTCCGTGTTTTTCTGTGATGCAAGATCCGTTTGAAACGAATGGCCTTCAACGGCAGCAACTGCGACACGCTTGATTTCAAGTCAAGCTTGACCTGACCGACTGCTGCGGATTCGCGTTGTCAAAGCTTGGTTTAAAAAGGGCTTATACGATATTTTATAACGCGCTGGTATTGCAAGTAGGATGCCTTTTTTCCCGCTATTCTCCGGTTTCAGAAAGTACCACTTTCCTCTTGACCATTCGTTTTTTGTAAACGGATTCCACCTTGTCGTTGGCATTTAAGCTTGCGTTACTTCTCCTCGCGCTTACAGGCGAAAATTGACCTTTCTATTATATAAGTTATCTTCCTCGCATTATCTCTGTCGCGTAACCTCCACGAATAATTTATGTGGCACATCATGCTATACACGTGTACACATATACAATGCAGCCACATGCATCAATGAACCGCCCAGGGCAATGACAGCCGGTATGGTAAAGTTACGACTATCAGTCAGCTTACTTTTGTTGGTAAGAGTTGGCGGGGCACGCGGTATTAAAGAGTGTATGAGTAATCGATACAATAATATTTTTATACGCGTAATGAATGGGTAAAGACATTTAGGCTAGATAAGACACTACAACTACGATCCATATCGAAGAAGGTGTGAACTTTCAAGGAATGTTGTATATGGCTAATATAAAAATACATTTGTTATTACTAACAATAAAGCACTCAAGTTTAATACATGGATTTTTTGAATGATGGGATCTTTAGAATAGTCAGTCGAGGTGAAGGTTGTTGTAGGTTTCTGTATGATGAAGTGATGGTTTGTTGTGGGATCGCGTGGAAAAAAAAGACCAAGAGAGATTGAAGAGGATGGATGAGTGACTATTAAATATACTACGACATTAAGTTAACAATCTACAAAGGTAATGATTACGTGCACTTGCAAATACTTTATCAATAGAAGCTTCTGATATAAAAAATATGAACTTTTTGGACTGGATGTTGGCGTTTTATCACGAATCTAAAACAAACTTTTAAATACAAAAAAGATGATCCAAACAGGGCAGATGATACATACTGTATTAAAAAAAATTGGTAGCACTCTTTATTTTTCTCATTAATCCAAAATCTGCGAACCAAATAGATCAGTTGAAAATGCACTTGTGTCGATTTACTGCAATGATGAAGCAGGTCAAAAAGTACCAGTTTTCGAAAAGACCACAACTAAGCAGGACTAGTGTTTTCTCCACCAGTTTTTTGAAAGACGTCAAATACCCCACATGCACTAATATCATCAAAACAGTGCAACGCATACTTAATATTTATTTGGCGCTCTAGAATAGAGGTAATATCCGATCTTGGATGTTATATACCAACTGTAGCATAAATAATGATACAAAGACGGATATCTGTAGATGCCCAAGGCAACAAAAGACGTTTTAACTGGCGCACATATGATAAAGCACCCTCGTTCATATAGTAGTCCCTCCTTTTTTTTATTTATTATCTGTACCATTATCCTTCATCCAGACTGCATAAAAGGTGTATCTGGCTGTCAAACAGCTTTTCATCTTTGTGGATGAATTGTGTAGGAAGGAGGACCTCAATAATTTGTATAGCATTAGCATCATCTAGTGTTCCTGATATTATCTCGTCGTGTTGATAATACTTTTATGTTGCTGTTGTATATAAAAAGACACCAACTCTGTATATCTTTATACAACTCATATAAAGTAAATCAAAAGTTTATGTCGGCGCAATCTTTTTTATCAGCCTCCTTATGCATTTATCGACCTACCAGGACTAGTAAAACATAGTTGTTGAACTCGTTCGTGCTGGTTGAATGATGGTCATGGGATCAAGCAAAAAGATTTTATTGGCCTATGAGTTTTAAATACATTGTTGACCCTATTTTTCTCAAAACCACATAAATCAATCAATACTTCATTCAAAAAACATAATCGTGTACACCAATAAACTGAATAGTTTCTTTTTTCAATGGCGGACCTGATAATTTTGGGCAAAGAAGCTAAGTATCTATTTTATTCTATTTATAAAGTGGCATGAAAACATGATGGCAATCTGCACATGAACCCTGCCCTGCGCGGAGAAATATTCTGGTTGCTTACAGCGTATTACATGCTGTACCACTAGGAGTGGGAGCCGTAGATTGTTGTCATGGGAAGAAGATTGGATGAACCCTGCCCTGCGCGGAGAAATATTATAGTTGCCGACGGCATTTACATGCTGTACCACTGGGAGTGGGAAGTTGATCTTCTTCCTCCTGTCACTGACCAAGTAACATATATGTTTGTTTACGAGGACTACTTCTCTTTTATATACAAGCTTCATGCGGCATAAGATGTGAAAGCGAGAAAATACGATGTATCATCACCTACACGCTCTTTGTGCAGTCTTCTTGCGTTCCTTTCAAAACTAATAATGGATGAAGCACACATGCCTATCTCACTTATGCTGGTATGAGACGCTTCTTCTTTTTTTTTCTTTGTTTATATCCCTTGTCTAAGACAGATGTTGTTCTTACAATTTTTTTTTTCGGACGAGCAGGAACTGTCTGTGTCAAATTACCAAGGCTCATTCGATATTGTTCGATAAACACGGATGACATCATGGACAGTGTTTTGACTCTATGTTTTGCTGTACTTTGAATACTGCTGTCAATAACAAATGCTCTATTTGTTTTACTCTCTTTTTTTATGCTCAGTTATGTGTTGAAACTGGTTGGTCTTCATGACAATCAGCAATTCTGCCGTGCTGATTGGATTAAACAAGACAATTATAGCATCAGTTGATTGATGGAATAAAAAAGATACATATGAGTGAGCGAGGGTTGCGATAGTGTAGATTACAAAGGAGGATATTACTCGATAAGCATTTACATATCTTTATTATCATATTGTGCTTTTCGCAACATATGACAAGGACCTTGTTGATATATGGCTAGTGAGATTTGCTTCACCTTTTGCTCTCTTCTGCAGATTACAATTCTACCATCATGCCAATTCTGATTGCTTTTACGGATACGATAGTTACCAAAAAGTAGAACACCTGTAAAGCACAGCAATACACTAGTCCATTCTACCACAGATGTTTATTTGAGACGAGTACTCGGATTTGCTTGACATATCAGCAGTCAGTAGTATGATGCGAGGAGATCTCCGACGTTGTCTGATTTTTATGTGGGCATACTTGCTCAAAAAAGTAGCACAGAGCAGGACAACAGGTGTTAGGACAGAATGATTAAACACATATTTTGCTGCAAGCGAGAAGAGGTTGGCCTATGTTTGCAGCGGTTACAAAACCATACAACGATTACTCCAAGCCCATCCGAGGTTATGGGATGTTGTAGCAGTCGGTTTTATTATGTAATTTGCGTTACACTTTGACTTCGTATACAATTCGACACTCTTAGTCATTGAGTTACAGATGTTATACCAAATAAGCGACAATATGACAGTTGATTTGATCAACTTCACAGCAGATACTTTATCGGCGATTTCACAAGGCACTTTGGTAAAATTACATACAATGGACGCATGAATTAGACGATCGTGCTTCGCAGATATCACAGCATAGTTCAGATGTTCGTATCATTACATAGTTGACGTGTCATATCTCAAAAATTTTCGTCGATCGTCGCACAACATGCCACCGTACAAAACCAATGCTTTCTCCTCGATAAATTCACACTAGATCACTAAACATATCCGAGCCAACATCCCATCAACTGATTTCATGTCCATCTTTACAGCAACCACAAATAAAAAAAACCATCTGTTTTACACCAAATAAATGACTTGGAAAGCTTTATTGCAGTTTCAAGCGATCAATGAAACCACACCGCTTACTTGCGCTGCTTAAGAGCAAGGAAGTCAGTGTGCTCCTGGAAGGGAGCCTTGGTGAATTCAGTTTCGGTCCACAGATCTATAAACGCGCAAAAGACGCATGATTAGTACCACGTCGAAAACATAATATAGATAACTCGAATTTTTTTAATAAACTTACCAGGAGTCAAGAAACCGTAAGTGTTACCAATGGCAGCGAAGGTAGCCTTGACGAAGTTACCCAAAGTACGGGTGGAACCACGCGAAGTGGTGTAGCAGTCAGTAATACCAGCGAGCTGCAAGACCTTCTTGGGAGTGGGGGCAGCGACCAAGCCAGTACCCTTGGGGGCAGGAATCAATCTAAGATATGGTAAAAATGACAACACGTCGTCCATTAGTATACAAAGTAAAAAGCGCATCCGATTTCAGCACTGACTCTTTGATCCTTCTCTCTTCAACTCCTTCTCTCTTCAACTCCTTCTCCAAAATGGTTTCTTACCTGCACATAGCGGAACCACACTTGCCAGTAACCTTGCAAGGGACAGTGTGGGGCTCACCAAGAGCAGTACCCCAGTAACCACGGCGAACGGGAATGACCGAGAGCTTGGCAAGGATGATGGCACCGCGGATGGCAGTGGCAACTTCCTTGGAGCACTTGACACCCAAACCAACGTGACCATCAGAATCACCAATGACAACGAACGCCTTGAAACGGGTACGCTGACCAGCGCGAGTCTGCTTCTGGACGGGCATGATCTTCATGACCTCATCCTTCAACGAAGGCAAGAAGTAATCGACGATCTGGTACTCCTTGACGGGAAGCGAGAAAGTGTAAATTTCTTCCAAGTTCTTGATCTTGCCAGCCTTGACAAGACGACCAAGCTTGGTGACGGGCACCCTTTTCAATGCAAATAGCTCTTTCAGTAAAAGAGAAAAATGTTGTCGAAGTTTCGACTTCGATTCAAATTCCCACAATCATTCTTACCATTCGGTCTTCTCGTCACCGCGACGTCCACGGCCGCGGCCGCGACCACCGCGACCACGTCCACGTCCAAAACCACCACGTCCTAAAAGAATCACAAAACCAAATGTTGAGCAGAGAATTCAAAAATTTTGACAGGTCGGGCAAATTTGAGAAAATGGCAAGACTTACTATCGGCCGGTGCAGTGTCAGCCATTTGCTGTAATGGTATTAAAGCTTATCAGTATCGTACAATCCATACCCTACATCCATCCATCCATCCAAATGCTCATCCATCCGTTTTATCCATCGTTTCGTCCGTTCTCTTTCTCCCTTGCATTCATCGTATAATCTATGTCGTTACGCTTACATATACTAATTTGAATGGAAATTCAAAGAGGAAGGGGCCGCCGTTCTCAGGTGCAAGGAAATTTTAGTGGGCCCGAGGCCGGCGGAGTGTGAGTCACCAATCGTGTGGTTTCACAGCCCCCCCCCACTACTTTTATCTTTAACCGTGTGTCACACCATATTCTATATGTAAGATCTGTCCAAAATCGGTCGTATATGATCACAGCCTTGTCTTTTACGGCTTTTCATTTTATCAACAAGTTGATATTTATTTTAAACGGGCAAGCACTCTCTGTTGGTACTTTAAATGGACATGCTCACATTTTGACGAGTGTTTTTATCGCGCTACCTAAATCATAGTACATAACTCATCGTGTTCAGTGTTGTTCTCACCTATTTGCCATTACACCTTTACCACCCGTGTGATATTGGTTTGCATTACTGCAATAGATGAGATTATATAAGCTGGCAGCTCGGAAGAATATAGTCTCAGCAGCATTTTAAAAGCAATAGCTGGATGTCAAGTACCGTTGTGCTGTCGTCAAGGATTATTGCCTGCTCTCATACTATGTATCGTAGTAAGAGATTTTTGGGCCCTTTTACTATTCAGAAAATGATTAGTTCATACTTTTAATATGTTGCTTGAACACTCTAGTATACATGTATATATCGATACGTCAGCAACTTATTCCGCTCGGAAAAAAAGTGAAAAAGTTGTATTAGTAGTTGTTGGCCATTTGATTTAAAAATTCCTGGAACCTAGTAACTCACTTGTGACGTTGAGTATTGCCCCCGTCGATTTTCTCCTGGTCATCGCTGTTTGTTGTGTGGCTGCTTCAACATTACAATTTCTTTTGTAGCTCCTGTAATTGTTGAGCATGGTTTATAATATCTATCAAGTGAATCCGGTAGAGCTACTGGTATGTAGTTTCTGCACAGGCAAGCAGGGAAAATGCTGTTTTTTGTCCATTAGCTTCTGCTGCCATCTCTTCATCATAAGTCTCTTACTGTTGCTTGTCAATTAACATTTGAAGGATGTCTATTCGCCGAGTTTCTCACCTTGTATGGGTTCTAAGAAAATCATTCTATGTGCGATCTGGTAACCAGTACGTTTATAATAAAATATATATGTATATGCGAAAGCATGATGTTCATGTACAGTATGGTAGTTCTGCGCCAGAAGAAACGCTTCTACTACTGCTTCCACTACTTTCCTTCCTCGAATCTCTATTGGTTTTGTTAACGTTGGTGAATAGAAAGAAGGTTTTCAGTTTTCCATATATTAAAATAAGCAGAAACCTAAAATGATAAGGTAACCAATAGTTCTTACTGTGACATACTACAAGTTGCATACATAAGAACTTGTTTCTAGTAAACGGGCAATTTTATCTGGTACAGCATGATTATGATTTTCAGCCATCTGAGAACCTTGATCAAAGGAATTTTCGCCAATTATATCAAATGCATAACATTCGAGCAGTCTCCATACTGTATCTCAACTTGTCAAAATTCGTTTTCATTACCGCTGTCTTTTAAAATTGCTCGATACCCTATCAATTTGGCACATCTTTACTTTTGTAGCGGGTAGCATATAATGCTACAAAAATTTTATATATCGTATTGAGAATACTGGGAAGATATCGGTCTCTATTCAGTGTAAAAATAATAGGAAAGTCTAAGTTTATTGATGAGCTTTCATTGATAAATAGATTAACTATTTGTACTCTATAACTTAGTACTGGTTTTTCTGGTTTTACATGCACACGTAACCTATGATAATCAATATTCACATAGCACCGCGGGGAAGTACACATAGTTTTGTATATACATAATAGCAGCAGCGCACATGCACCACATGCAGAAGAAGAATGTAATACTACAGTGCAGTGACGCACATTGATTGTATGTCAAATTCTGTACGCCTTTATTGCATTCGCGCATATGCCGGTCCCTTCGGAACCTCATGAGTACCTAGCACCTGTCTCAGCATTTGTTTATCAGAGATTACAATTGTATTCTTCGGACCGATACGCATTGCTCCATTATACTTGCTTTGCATAGAGCGTAGATTCATCCAACTACATATGTTGTTAAACGTTGCTTTAAAATATCAAGTAAAAACCCGTAGCAGTACAAGTTAACACCAATTACTTCACTTTCTCGCTCGTCAAACACTTACTTAGTTCCGGATGTATTCCATGACAACAATAACTTACAGTATTGCCAAATTTGAACTGGGTGGCCCAAGAATGGCACTGAATGAATGGTCCCGAAAATACATCATATATGCTCTATTTATCATCAAAAGTATGGGGTTGTTGATAAGCTTAAATAATAATATGTACATTTATTTTATAACGATGCTTGCCCGTGTCGCTATGTACATACAAAGCTTTCTTTGCTGCTGACTGCTGACGATGATGTGGTTATAGATTTGCCTTGTCCATCGACTGTTAAAATCTCTTTGAACAAATGGAGAAGTAACGCTTTGTATCCTTCTGGAGAAAGGGCGCTATTCATACTAATATTTGTTTATAAAAAAATAACATGTCAAAAACCGAAGAAAGTTCTTTATATTAGAAAATGTTTTTGCTCTCTCCCTTTAACGCGATGATGCAAGTCCTCTGCAGCGCCAAACTGGCATACAGTTGTACCCCGGTTTTTGCAACCCCTGGGTTTGCAATTTCTCGTATATCTGCAACTTTTTTTGAAAAATCCAAAAAAAAACTTAGTAGTTTCGCAAATTTGCAACTTGCAAATGAGTTTATACGATTTGCACGTTATCGGGGTAAAAACAGCTTCAATTTTTGCAATATCAACTGAAAGAAGCATCTGTTGCGGATTATGAGGAATAAAATGATACAGTTACTGCAAGATAAATATGTAAATATGAAAATGTATTTATTGTCGAAATAAAAATTATTATTTGGTAGTTGAGCCAGTAGAATGGGGACACATATATAGCACTGATTGGGTTGAATCCACAAAAGAAATGATGAAGATATAAGAAAAAGTGAACACACTACATATACAGTAGATATAAAAATAAAATGTTTGCTCAAATGAGCTTTCAACTACATATCGAACAAGTTATCAAGGAATGATTGTCGGGAGAATGATTGCTGCCTGAGACTCTCTTGAATCCTACGCAAAGACTTCTTTTAAGTCGTAGTTATCGATATTATTCAAAAAGCTCAAAACTCCTGCAATTGCAACCTGTTTTTCCTTCGACGTTGGCCCTGGAATAGGCGAATCGGCGCTTTGGTCCACCGCCCGCTCAAGTGCTCGTCGTAGGTTCGATGCTATTGCTTGGATGTGAGCTTGTGGAACGATTTTGTCATGCTTAAAAGAGCTAATAATTATCAAACCACTAGACAGCTTAATAAAAGAACGGTCTTATATATGCAAGTAGTAACATTTAGAGCTGTATGAATATTCCAAAAGAACGTACCGTACATCATCTCTGACAGATAAACAATGGGCTAGTGTTAATAGGATGACTTATCCAGTGTCTACTTGAAGCAGAATTGTTTACCCCGTTACTTGCAAATCCTCACTTTTTGCAAAAAAAAAATCGAAAAACCCTCGGTTGCAAAAACCGGGGTACAACTGTACTGACTAATTTAGCTCTCTTAACAGCAATGCCATATGGTAGTGACCAGCGATCGTGTTGCTTAAAAAATTATTGTGTAAACATGATACATATGTTTCTTCGAACTATAATATATTGTAACAGGCACCAATTTTCCTTACGCATAGATCAATACATAGTTTCTAATGGTCGTCATTTTATGGCAGCAACTCTTTGCTAATGTGTACATTACTTATGGGTAAAAAAAATTCGATACCGCCTAATCTTCTTCAATACAAAGTCTTGAAAAAAATTATGGTACCATCGGCTAGTACGTAGTAGGTATTATGAGCAACTGGAAAATTTATGTTCAGCAAGACGTTCCACGTCGATTAACAACACCTTCTTATCGACTGTATATTATTGAGGCTTTATCTACATGGGTGCTAGCTACAACAGTGTAACTTATTATATGTGCCCAAGTTCTATGTGCCTGAAAGCAATCACACAAGAGCGGTGCATATCCATCCGACAGCATGCATTACTTATCATACTGTATGTCGAGTCACTATATTGAGTGCATAATATGTTAGCATCAGCGCATATGTTAATTAATACTGTACGTAAGGCCACGTCTAGTATATGTTCACTGACCACAATACCTACTGTACTCTTATCTGCGCAGTTTTTTACGTTTACTAAACTCTTCCTCTACCCCGTACAAAGTAAAGTTTAGCTTAGAAAACCAAATCGGTAAATAATAGGGACAGTCAAAAATTCGTAAAGAGATCTTATTAATTATTATATGAGCCTTTTCGCAATTGGCCGGGCCTGATATACGAAGTATATAAGTAGATATGGTCATATCGTATTCCGGGAGTTCTTTTCCTCGTTTAAATGATGATATAGCAGTAGTATACTAAATGATATCATAATTATTTTTAAAAACATCGTTTGGGTTAGCAACCATCAGGTGGAGCAGCTGGTTAATAAAAGTTCATGCCAGAATATATATTGTGATAATCTGACGGATCGATAAACAGACGACGTTGTCACGCGTACATACAACGCAAGACTAGGGCATGAACCCATCATAAACGGGTGGAGATGGTTAAAAATACCTTTTTTATGATCATGAATCTAGCAGTAGCAAAGGGTTGAGATGCATCTCTTCATAAATTGTGATGAAGCGCCGGCTGTTACATTACGGAAAAGGTAATTACTGTAGTAATAATTCACTTTATGTTAGAACCATTAGTTTAATCGATTGATCTATCCATCTATCATGCACGCACGCTAATGTAGCGTGCGTACGTTCAACAGGGTCGATCGTACAGCAAGTTTTGTAAAAACGACACTGCGCTTAAATGTGTAGAAACAACCGACCTTCATTGATCTGTCAACAACTGCATGAACTAGAGCCATACTTAAGTTGACGCACCATGATATTGTGAGCATAGAAACAAATTTATTACGATGTATGTAATGGGTATTCCTTAGAATTTGACTTTGGTTATGTCTGTATAAAAATAGGGATGCTCTGCAGCCTAAAATATATCAAAGACAACATTTGTTCGTTAATATAGTGCGTCCTTTTCTTTGCTCCACTTTCTTCTGATCTTCTTACCCTTTTTGCAGACAATCTAAGGTAAGGATCATATTCCAAGAGTTGCTACATGAGTGAAAGTCAAGCAGACAAATAGATGATGTTTAATTGTCATGCTTTTCTTATTACCAAGGTCCACTTGTCATATAGATATGCATGACTCTAATACCTGAAGGAGATCAAACGCGCAGTTGAGTGATTGTTCTGCTAAATCCGATTTATTAAATAACGCTTTTAATTCCACAAAAGCACGGTGTCTTTCGAACTCTTCCCGTAAGTTTTTGCGCTTCCAACCTATATTAGCAGGTAGATTGATGCAATGAAGCATTAGTCAATGATGTAGAGATAAAAGATCACACGAGTCAACTTGTTTGTTTTTGATATACGTACATGGAAAAGTTATATTGAAATCGGGTAATGTAGTTACGCCAGCCCATAAGTCTTCGCTCGGTGTACCCAGTAATTGAAATATGCGGAATAGCTCGTCTATTTGGGAATCGCCTATTGACAAAGAATGTGAGAAGGAGAATCAGTAAACTGCTAGTAAAAAGAATACTCAGGCATACAACTGCACCTGGAAATATTGGCCGTAAGGTCATCATTTCTGCGAATATACATCCCACACTCCACATATCGACAGCTGTGGAATAATAGCGAGAGCCAAGAAGAATTTCTGGTGGGCGATACCATAGTGTAATAACCTACAATGCATGCATGATTCGTCTTATCAGTATGTGTACATCCAGCCTTGCTGTTGCCGTTGTTGTTGTCATGGGGTAGTGCGTGTGTCACAAATATTACCTGATGTGTGTATGTCCTCATTGGAACGCCAAATACTCGTGAAAGACCCAAATCAGCAATAATAAGTTTCCCTTCTCGGTTGATCAAGAGGTTTTGTGGCTTCAAATCTCGATGTAGGATTCGATGAGAGTGACAGTATTGTAGCCCCATTAATAGCTGATGCATGTAACTCTGGTGAGAAAGAATAAGTGATACAGTTGATTCCATTAGCGACGATGCTCATTTCATTTCTGCAGGGAGATAGAGTTGGAGGGCAGGGCGGGAAAAGTTGGATCGACATAGTACTTTAATATGATCTGGTGTCATGCCTTTCCGACCGACTTCATTCATGTATCGTCGTAAATCCTGGATGTTAACAATGGTAATGTCAGTCAACAGATAAAGGTGGACATATACACAGAAAGAGGAAGAAAGGAAACGTTGTACTTTACCATATCCAGATAATCTGAGACGATATACACTGAGGTGTCCTTCTGAACGAGATCCGTAAGACTAAGAAGCAGGAATCGCGATGGATCAAGATGAATCCGTGCGTCAGCTACAGAGACCCAAAACGTCTTCCTCGCCCTTCTCTCTCAAAATGCATGAATTTCTAACCCTATGACGTTGCTGTGATTCATTTCTTTCAGAATAGCTATTTCACGCATAGCCGTTACCGGAATGCCCTCTGAAAACGCCAGCCGTATCTTCTTTAGCGCGACAATTTTGTTGGTGAGCTTTTGGCGTCCCTTAAACACGACGCCATATGTCCCTTCGCCAATCTTGGACATTTTCTGGTATCCTCCCAAATCAACATCGTCATCATCGTCTGGTGCTACACCATTGCTAACTTGTTTCCGTTTAGCATTAGCAGCTTCAGTTTGTTCCTTTTTCTGCTGCTTTGGTTGCTGTTGCTGTTGTGCTGCTGCTGCTTCTTCTTCTTGTTGGTGGTTGTGATCGTCGTTGCGTTTAGGTTGGGATAGGGTGTCGTTTATTTTGGTTTTTGAGGGATCAATGGCGGCTCTGGCTGAGTTGGGAACTGCTGTGAGGTTTTCTTTCTGCTGGTGTGGTGGGATATTTTCATTCATTATACGATCGATTGCGTTGTAAAGGAGATGGGGGGCGTTATTGTTGCTGGGATTTTTTTTGGTGAAACAGAGCAAAATCCTGTCCCAGTTTTTTTTTGTGATGTACTCCGAATACACACGCGTTAGAAGGCAGACCACCACGGAAACGAAAATCAACACACGCGAGCGCGTTGTATGGCGACAAGCGGATCTCTTATTTCGTGACAATGAATTGAGTCTTTTTTTTATAATAGTAAAATGCTTTCTTTGTTTTGTGATTGTATTACCATCAAGGCTTTATATAATAAGCTACTGTATCGTAATTTTTCTTCTTGCAAACTGTATGGATGGATGTGTGTGGTGTGTTGTTGTATGTGTACATGATATCGGATGTTTTGTATGTAAATAAGAATAAAATGTGTGAATTAAAGGGCAGAAAAAACAGAACCAGCTACGCGTTGTTCATCTAATCATCGTCTTCATCTTCTTCGTCGTAGTCTTCCATCTCCAGCATTTCTTCGTCTTCGCTAACGTATTCATCCACTTCGTCCTCGCTCATGGCAGCCTCCTCTTGCTCTGCTTCCTCGTCCGAGTCTTCTTCAACATATAAACCAACGGCACCGTTCTCGCCGTCTTCATTCTGGCTGTACCGTGATCGATTGTTGATCTGGTTCTGGATCAAATCTAATCTACCACGCAGAGCAAGCAATTTGGGGAACACAGCTAGACGCGAATCCAGTGCCTGATAGAAGGTCGACAACTGAGCAACCAAGTCAGGTACGGTCATCAGATAGGTTGTATGGGTCAGCAAGACGGCCTTGATCCACACCAACAGACCAGTGCCACGACCAGGGGAGGTTTGGAATTTGGCAATAAGTTGTAACATGAGAGGGATGACATATGCAGTGGGCAATCGCTGGATCGTGGTTTGGATGATTTCTGGCTTTTCTTGTGCTAAGCATGCCTCCAAAAGGGCTTTGTCCCCAGAATGTAATGCTTGCAAAAGGACTTGCTGCAACGATCCGGCTGATGGCGTCGATGGCTTGTTGGTCCTTTTCTTTGTCTCTATTTCGCTCTTCTCCTCGTTCACGCCCATCTCGTTCAATCGTTGCTCGAGGGAAGGTTCTGCTGATACTTGTCCATCGCTGCTACTCTTGGCTGTAGGGTTTCGCATCGCAAAGTCGGTGTTGCCTATGACCTTGACGGCGGCTTCATTGTATGCTTTCTGCGTCGTTTTCTAATGCAGATATAGCACATTTAGTAAATTCCGCTCTACTGATAGTATACACGCCCATTCTCCACTTACCAAGTTATTTGCTGCCATTGATCCATTGCTGACCAAGTTGTTCACAACGGCCTGTCTTGTCAACACAATGTTATCCATCACTGCGCCTGATTCTTCGTTCACGTATTGCTATATAGTGATACATTTAGTGAGCCTCGGTAAGCCATTGCATGCCCTAGCCTTTTATTCACCCCACAATCACATACCACAACTTCAAAAGATGGTTTAATGCTTGAGCCACGAGCAATCATAACAGCTTTACTGTCATTATCCGTAACAAAGTTTGCTGAGATAACCGGGATCGTTTCCTCCTCTGATGTGCTGGATACAACTGTGATGGTTGAATCGGGCTGCTTTGTGGTAGCGCGTGCCATTTTCCGTCTGTTCTTGGGGCCCGAAGCCATTGCCGGAGAAGAGGCATTTTGCCACACCCCAACAGAGCCATCTTCAGATACAGCAAGGACCGATGACTCGGTTTCCGAGAAATCAATTTGGATAACATTGTTTTCGAGTGTCAATGCAGTCAAATTGTTGGTGTTGTCGTTTGTCGACTGTGCATCCCATACGTTCACGTAGCGATCGTCGTCTCCAATGGATACTAAGATGTCATCCTGGGATGAGAATCGAAGTTCCTTGACGGCACTGGCGTGTCCCGTGAATTTCTATGGATTCCAAAGTATCATGTTGATTTCCAAGACATGACCAGCCAACCAACCCAGACAACGGCGACATGAGATATGAATGTACCTTGAATACTTTTTGATCGTGTAAGTTCCACAGACTGATGGTATGACCAGCAACTGCCAACTTGGTTTCGTCGTGGCTAAGGGCCAATCTCCGCACACTCTTTTCATTTGCTTTCCATTTTCTAGATCCACAACCAAAAAAGGGACTTTTCTTAATAACGTGTGATCTAATGATACTCCTCCATCCCTCCTTTTCTAGGCATATATTGCATGAACTTACGCCGTTTCCTTTTCTTGGACAATATCCCATTCGACAATGTAGTTGTCTTCAGCCACCGAATAACCCTTTGTGCCAGCCTTGTTAAGCACGAAATCGGTGACGGGTGTGGTATGTGCACTTGTCAAACGCTTCACGATCGAACCATGGGCAAGGGAGTATATGACAATGGTGCCCGTATTTGTGCCAAGAGCAACCGCCTTTGTCGTGTTGTGAGACTTTCTTCTTTTGTTGACTTTTGAATCGCCAGCCTATGTTCATTTCAAGAAGAAAGGTTTCAGTTTCGCGATCAACAGACTGTTTCTGGACGTTGAGTCCACGCAATCATATACTACCTTTGCAAGATCGCCAGTATCCACGACATTGCCCCAGCTTAAGCTTGTAAAAGACTCCTTATTTTCGGAAGAAAAGTCGTTGCTGACAGTGCCAGATCGTGTGTTGAAGATACGCAACTGATGGCGACCAATGTTGTGTGTTACGAGAGCAAAAAATTCGGCACTGGGGCTCTCATCGAACGCGGAGAACAAGATCCCGGCAGATACTGCTGTGGTTGCTGATGTAGCAACAGTGGCAGTGTCTGGATTGGCTTTGAAAGTTTTTTTGCCCATGATTGATTTATTTCTTATATGTGTATAAAAAAAATCTTGAGGCAAAAAAAAAAAAAAGTTGCGGTTGTCAAATCATTCAAAGAGAGAAGCGAAAAATTCAACAAAAAATGTGACGACTTTCCTGCGCCGCTTCTCTCTTCTTTTGCCTTTTAAGTGTTTGTGTTCCCCCGAAAAGGAAGAGGGTTCCTCCACCAGCCGCAAGGGGGTGCTGCTTAGCAATTGTGGTATTTCTATTGACGCAACGCTACAGCTGTCATATGTGAAGTTTCTACAGTGCTTTTTCTGTGCCAGTATGCTGTGGAGGAAGCTCCCTTACATTAAACATTCACCGTCCGTGGTGCATGACAGGTTGCATAAATCATTTGTATGTGAAATCGATCCGACATAAGCATCACCGTGAGTTGATCACTCTATTTGAGCGTGACCTGCCCTTCAGCCACCTGCAGGTGATCAGATTTACAATGACGAACAACGCCAACCATCATGCTTTGTGGTGAAAGAGACATATCGCACGTAAAAGTTTGATAATTATTAGCACTGAAACTGTTTATGTCAATGCAGCTAGTAAAGGAAACAGAGTGGGTGCAGATTATGTATTCCGGTAAAGACACAACAAGTCTCTACGAGAAAAGAGGCAAATCGAATCCATAGCTGTCTGGATTGTTGAAACGCAACCCTTTGTTCAACGTCTCAATTTGCTTCTTATCGTCATCGTCCAAAGACCAGGAGAAGACATCGTGGTTGGACTTCATACGCTCCTCATGGCTGCTCTTGGGAATGACGGCAATTCCTCTCTCAATGGCCCAGCGTAGCAACACCTGGGCAGGCGTTTTGTTTTTCTTTTGAGCAATCGATGAGATAGCATCATTTTGGAGAAGTGGCTCTGCACTACGACCATCGTCCGTAAGGCTGACATAGGATCCAGGGCCAAATGATGAGTAGGCCGTGATGTGTATCTCTTGTGCTTGTACCCACTCGACCAGTCGCTTCTGCGGCAAGTAAGGATGGATCTCGACTACAAGTGAGCAAATCAAGGTTTAATGCTTTGCTCCATACGTGTATCTAACTCAGCATCGGAAGTCGTACTGACCTTGCAAGGTAGCAGGCTTATGCTTGCAGTATGTCAACAAGTCCAAAATAGCTTGCACATTAAAGTTGGAAATGCCGATATTGCGTGCCAAACCATCATCCACCAGCTTTTCCATCTCCGACCAGCATTCGTGCATGGGAGCCCGTTCAAACTGGATTTTTTTTTGTCCCACGCCGTACCATCCTGGTGGATAAGCTTGATCAAAAGCAACATACTTTAATGGGACAGGGACTAGTAATAGATAAAAGTGCTGCTTAGTTGACTGCGTATGGATTAACACAATAAGATGCGCTTCATGCTGATCTCAAGGCAAGTGCAAAACTTACAATGAATCAGATACAAATCAATGTAGTCCAAACCAAGCTCCTTGCGCTGCTTTTCAAACGCAGGACGAACATGGTCTTTGCTATGAAAGGTATTCCAAAGCTTTGTGACCACTATATACGATGCGATAGAACAACAGAAGACGAGCGCGTCATTAGCCACTTTGTAGTGTAATAATAGCGTCGTCAAAGCCACGCGTCAAAAAAGAACGTACCGAACAATTCCTCGCGTTTCACAAGGCCATCCTTTATAGCTCTAGCAATACCGCGACCTATTTCAACTTCGTTACCGTAATCGCAAGCATTATCAAAAAGACGCTATTGTTGTGGTTAGAATAGATTGTATTTTTTGCTTATGTACGGTGGGGATAAGAAACAAGCAACAACGACAAGACGAATGAATAAACGGAGGAGAACACATACATATCCGCACTTGATGGCATCGTAGATGAGCTGCTCAGCGTCTTTGTTCTCGACCTTCCAACAACCGAAGCCCATCAAGGGCATTTTATCGCCTGAGCGGTTCAAAGTAACGTGTTGCGTCGACATGGCTCTTTTTCACTTGTTCAAAGAATGTTGGTAGAGAAGAAAGAAAGGGTTGAAAGAGGGAGCCAAAAGGAATATTATACCTAAAACTACCCACGCTAAAACTCACTATTTGCTATTGCTTATGTGTCGCATCTTTTTTTTTCAAACAAACAAACAAGCAGCTAAACAAGACCACATAACATGTTATTCATGCCAAGTTCCGGATTACAGTACCAATACCATCCCAGGATTAGCATAATATCATATATCGTTAATTCTTTCTATGACGTTACGCCACAATACTGTGACACATACTGGGGAGGCGGGCTTGGAAGGTGGCAACGTAGTGCACGCGACTTGCGGATCATCCAGTGAAAGAAAAAGCTCTTGATGAGGCGCAGGCATCATATATATAAAATGCTGTTCTCATGGTTGCACAGATGCTTACAGAGAAAAACTCGATTTTCCAATATAAAGAGACCATTGATTTTTGTTGCGCTCGTGAAATCTGACTAAAAGTTTCTTTATCTCCACTCCACTCCTCTTTCTCATCCTTCTTTCTATCGAATGACTATATTTTCGTCGTCGTCACTAAATGACAAGCGCTCAAGTCTAGGGATGCAGCTTATGAGCGACCAGAAGCGACGAGATTTACGCGATTTGTTCAACTCATTTGATATCGACAAGGACGGCAAGATATCTCATGCGGAGTTCCAGCAGGTGCTTGCAGCAACAGGTGTAGATTCACACTCTGTGATGACCATTGTATGTTTATTTACTGTATTACTACTTTGGTATAATATAGAAGCTTTCAGCAAACAAACAGATAGATTTTATAGCGTTGTGTATATTTGCCACAATCAGGTCTTGATGCTGAATGATCGAGTACAGAAAAGACTAACCATAATATATTACCGCGATCAAAAAATATGCTCATGATGTGAATGTAGGTACAAGGAAACAACAAGAAAAACGATCGTGGAGATGATGTTTTTTATTCCTACGAAGAGTTTGTGAAGCTATTTCGGCCGACACTATCAACACCCGGACGTCGTACCGCCAAGGAACAAGAGATGGTTGAAGCATTCCACGCTTTTGATTGCAATGGTGATGGCGTGATAACCCACGAAGAATTACGGCTAACACTCCAACAATTGGGTGAACATGTTTCCGAACAAGAAGCTAAAGATATCATAGCTGAAGTTGATGAGAATGAGGATGGTGTAGTAAGCTTCAACGAGTTCCTCCATATGATGGGCATGCGAGCATCCTCTTCTTCTACTGAACCAAAGACGGCTACTACTACATCTACCAAAACTAACACCACCCGTAAAGATGGCAAAGATAAAAAGGGGAAGCATCGATTCCAGGCTAAGCTCAAAAGAATATTTCGTTCATTGTAATAATTACAGTATACTCCTTCCTTTTTATTATACGTTCTCAGATATCGCATACACCACCTTATAAACTACTTGTACTCTATTAATCATTTGTTTTAACCCCATTTTTACTGTTCCTATCTACTGTCCAACGTTTCTTTATCGTTCATAAAACATAAAAATAAGCAACTGCAAATTTTTATGATATGCTAAGCCTTTGCCTGTTTTTTTATAATCAGTAGTTATATTTGCAACTCATTCTTATATATACCGTTGTCATTGTCACTATATGGAAATCATTATAACAGCACATTACAAAACGTGCAAACGACAGGCATTTGACAGCTTGTGTTATTACTTGTTCAGAGAAATGCGGGATACCGTATTATAGATAGAAGAACTATTAGCAAACCCTTCAGCTCGTGTGATCCCGATATCTGTTACTTTCACCAAGTAATTTGATGGCTCAGTGTAAAATTTAGGAATACAAAAAACAGATCATATCTTGTCATATTTTTCAGATGCATCAACATGAACCTTGAAATTTCCAATTATTCCAAACCTGTTCGATTGCATTTATACAAATGGTTCAGAAAATATTACTTCACCTACAATATATATTCAAAGCTGCCAGCGAAAGTTTACGCCATCGGCTCATGAACATGGATTATATCTCGTTTGTTTGTATTGCAGTCCCAATGACAACCTTGTCCAGCGGCAACACAATCAGTTGGAAAAAGCATCATGCATGTCCAGGACACATGTGCTTGATCTCGTTTAGTGAGTAGCTTGGCTTGAACCACACCTTAGAAGATATAGGTTTGTGGATTGCGAATTTCCACGAAAACCCACAGAAAACAGCGAACCGCTTTTTCAAAGGTTCATAGCTAGTTCCAACAACGTCAACATGCCAGGGTATGTACCTCACGTTCATATTTAATATATCATACTTTTTACAGATTGTACAAAATAAAAGAGCATTTATAAGGAATTAGACGGTATCAAGTTTAGAAGGACTTGACTGATTGGAAACATACACAGTAACGGGGACAATACTGTACTTTTAATCAACAGGTACAGTACATAAAGTAACTCGTTGGGTAAGTGAACATGCACGCTCCATAAAAAAAAATACACAATTATTGAATAAAATTAACATAAAGCTTATTGCAACGGTGGTGGAACAACTAATTGAAAAGCTACATCCAATGTCTTCGTCTATTGGACTCTTGTGGCGGGCAGCAGTGCGTATAAGTTGACCGAGAAACCCCATTTTCAAAAATCTATTAAGTCATCATCATTTCATTTTTGCAAAATATGAGTAGTACCATGTGAGAAAGATAGAGGTATGTACGTCTGTAAACCCTTTTATTATTCACTCAAGCGTTGTATTTAATCGCTTCTCCAGTCGCTACTACATACACCATACGTATAAACAACATCGCATGCTTAAAAAAAGAAAATGTTCAGGTTACTGGCTATTATAGCTCTTACTACTTTGTACAAAAGCTGAATCTAATACTGTTATTATTGTGCTTCTATTATTAAAGAATAATAAAGTGGAGTGAGTCGAAGGTAGCAAATCCAGCACTTATTGCGAGAGAAAAAGAAAAAGACAAAGCGACTCGTACTGTCAGATTTATGACCCCTGTGTCGGAATAGATAATCCACACTTCCCACCAAGCTCGTCGGGCGACACAAGACATTATGGATCTAATACTGAATGCTAGAAAACAACAACGAAAGCCGCTGCTCCCGCTTCCTTTCCGCATCTCATCATGTATCACTAAACATGACCAATATGGTAAGCTGTACCACCCCACCACGAAAAGTCACTAAATCTTATATGGTGCAGTGCCGGATCATTCCGCGTCTGTTGGTGCTTGGTGATTCTCCTTACAAATGATCATAGATTCGTCGGGAGTTTGTGAGTCTCCTTTAACGAGCTATACGGATGGCTCTAGTAGTGTGAATACCAAGGTGCATTTTCTGTTTTACTCAATTCTCCTATAAAAGAAAGTAAAGGCAGTGTACACACCTCATCATCTTTTTTATATATTCTGGCGTGGAATCAAGCCGCTCTCTTTTTCTTATTATAAAAGTAGATACCGTTGCTTCAATGCGCTTAGTATGAACCGAATATTCCGCCCTTCAGAAGCGCAGTTGATCGTATCAAGAGTCTTCTAATC